CTCCAAGCTCCTATCTGCTAAACTGTATGCGGCCTTTATTCGGCCCAAACTTGAGTTTGGTCTGTCTATTTCCTGGTTCTTGAAACGTCATTTAAAGCTTTTGGAAAAAGCTCAAAATCAGTGTCTTCGTCTGGCCTTTGGTGGCCATCGTACCTCTTCCGTCGTGGTTTTTCGACATTTAACCAATCTTCCAACTATGGAGGAACGTGTTGATATTCTGACTAGTAAAATGCTCTGGCGGGTGCATACGCAATTGCCTGGTGATACTCTTCTTATGGTTTTGGCTCCCTCTCTTGTGTCCTTCAAGCATCGTTTGAACAAGTTGGCCGTCAAAAATCCAATCTGGGATCCTACTTTTGCTGGTGGTGGTGCTGATAATTCTCTTGCTTTGGATCGTCGTGGTCTTGCTGACAAGATCAAGGTGTATCGTCTTGATTCCCTCCAATGTCGGTTACATCCTGCTCCTCCTGTTTCTCCTCCTGTTCTCCTCTCTGCTTGTCGTCCTTCACTCATGGTTGATCCCATCCTGTATCTTCCAATGTCTGTGTTTGACCGTAGTCGTATTCTCCGTTGGCGTATGGGATGGCTACCTGCTAGGCCAGTTCCATGTCGCTGTGGTGCTCCTCACGCTAGCCGCAACCATCTGCTAGAGTGTCTTGGTGTTGCTTCAAAGCTTTTGTTTACTGATGATCCTCTTGGTGCTGATTATTTGCCCAATCCTCTGGACTTTTGGCTCAATCGACTACCTCGTATGCAACCTTCTGCCTCTAAACTCGTGTCGTCTCGCTCCTTTTGGTCTGTTCGCTGGCCTGTCATGCTCCAAATCTTTTTGGATATCGACATGATCTGTCATCCTGATGCTGAATTTACTGGTAAAGCTCTGGACTCGTCTGGTTCTGCCTTTCTCGACTGGTTGACCCCGGTTTCCTCAACTACCTCTGTTTCGGGTACGCCTCCTATCTCTTCCTCAGATAGTGCTGGCATTACTGCCGCTATTCCACATCTTTTGTCTCACTAAGATGCTGTTTCTCTGCTGTCCTTTTCCAACTGTTTTCGTTTGCCTTTTTTTTGAACCAAGGATTTAATCTTTAAATTTTTTGTTATTTTTTTATATTCTCTTTCTGAATTTATTTCCAGCTGTCATCATTTTGATCCGCACTATAATGAGCACTTTGCCCTACAGGGACGCAGCTCCAATATTATATCTCTTCAATAAACATTTCAACTATACTATACCAGCTACTGTTGTAATGATAAGCGTGCTGTTTGATATAGTTTGCATTATTTTGAGAATGTTGAGTTACAGTAACTCGAGATGAGGGAGGATGATCAATACAAGGCAAATAGCTGGTGCAGGCAAATCAATGAAGGTTTATTCAAGTATGGATGTGGAATTATCAAGAACATACGACATGATTGCATCAGTATTTGGTGAATGTATTTGAGATTATCAGCCTATCTTCAATTAGAGGAACTCATGTGAAATGTGTGGAAATAGTTTATTAGGTCCACGCATGGAGATTACCAGTATACACATTTTATGACACCAACAGCATCACATAAGGAAAACAATGTAAAACCACCAAACTTATAATAAGCAACACATTTAAAAGGCTCTCATCTTCTCAACAATTTGGCCTTATCTATCAAACATCAATATTTATACAAATCAAACAAGCAATCACTTCAAGAATCAATACTCACACCCAACAAAACCAAGCACTAACTGAAAAACAAGATAAGCAACACATGGATCAAGACTCTCACGCCAAACTAGACACTTGGTAACGCATGTCAAGATGAATCATTATTCCCACATCCACATCGACACTGGAATAAACAACATGCGAAGAGATTTCATGGGCAACCTTTGGAATTGAACAAGAAGCAATGAAGTTACAACGATACAGGAATTGGAAAGCTATAAATAATCTTGAAGTTTTGAATAAATGAACATATCATCTTTACTAAGAAATACTTTATTTCGAACACCCTTCAAAGTTGTTAAGCACAAAGAATAAAAGGATTATTATTTGTAGCTTATAAAAAATGTTCGATATTATAAAAACAAGAAAAGACTTATTTGAATAAGATCAGACACAAAAACTAAAGATTTATTGATGAAGACAAGAGTTATTCTATTTATACTAAGTTCCGAATGCCAAAGTAGCAATTTATCTTGTACAACGCTTATCACATCTGGTGAACCTCAGTATTTAGATAGCTGAGATGCACTTCACTTATCATAGCTTGTCCATGTTGTTGCACAACACAGACATATCTACCCATCAAGAATACCTTAATCTTTATAGACAGTTGTAGCCCTTCTGGCACAACAATCACCTCAAGATAATCAATTTCCCAAGTTCATGTTCGTACAAGATGGTGCAAACTTTGTCCTGGGCAGAACAGCCGGAAACAATGTCTATATGCCAACATCCACGTTTCGCAGACCGTAAAATATAAACTACACGGTAGAATCTACTCGACTAGCTTTGATGGTGTACATTTTTATACGAGGTGTTATAAAACAATTGGTGGAATTGTATATCTCGTGGATATTGACAATTGGCAGCAATAACAAATGAAGGTACTCACCTCGAATTTGGACGTAGCAGAGCGTCTTCTAAAAGATATTTCCAACACGGTATATGCATGCTAAAAAAGAGTATAAATATTTGCTAAAAAAAATGGACTTGCCAGATCAGAAAATAAATCTGCATGAATAAAAGTTAAAATTTGACATCCATTACTCCTCTACATTCTATATACTCTACTCCCTATACTCCCTAGGTCTACCTACACCCTATGCATCCTGTATCTACCTACATCTATACACCCTATCCCTACCTGCGCCCTATACCCCACGGCCTATCTATTATCCGGATTACACCCTAACTTTTATACACCTTTCTTTATCCTACGCCTATTCTTGGAAAGATCGGGGTTTCAAGTCAAACAAAAACTCCGAAATCGGAGTCCAAAATTTACTGGCGGGATATGCTTCTAAATAAGGCAGGTACTATTGCTATATGAGAGAAGTGGTATCAGTAACATATGCTCTGTTGGCTCTATTGGATTTTTTTTATGAAATATACTTCCTTCATCCATGAACCAGGTATGCGTTTAACGATTTCGTACTAAAGGAACACGAATTATGTTTCAATAGCGTCGCTCCAATCGAGCAACATTATAGCATTTCATGTTATATAATAATAGTAATAGTATTAGCTAATTGAAATCGCCTCTACTAAAAAATTTAATTGTGGTCAAACTCACAAAGATAATAAGAGAAACAATAGAGGAGCGTGTTTTTCATTAGAGGAATAGAATTTGTTTGCCACTCATCTCTGATCTCTACCTTTTTCTGTCATTTGTGATGACCTCGAAGACGGCATCACATTGTATCATGATAAAAACTGCCAATCGTGGAACTGTCTTTTTCTCTTATTCCAGCTGTTATATGACATTTATTTCGTATTCTATCGTAAACTCAATGAATATCTTGGATTTTGTTTCCATGCAAATATATAAAGCTGCTGAAGTGAACTAGACTAGATTCCCATTGCAGTAAAAAGGGGGTTAAAAAAGCAGGTAGAATACTGTTAAAATCCTTCTTTATTTGAAATTAGGATAATGTGCAATAAAATGTATATTCTACGTCTCTATTTATATTATTTGGTTTATATCTCTTATCTGGCAGCAGTTTAGTAGTTGCCAGTGATTCCATTACTTTATATATTTTTGTTGGGTCATTTAGTTGTTGATCTGATGGATCAAGAACGGTATTTCAATATATGGTTTTTGAATCATGCGTAAAGAATAGCTCTTTATTGTTGAGCCTGTATCCTTTTTAGGTATATTTATGTTACAACACATTACACTACCCTTGACATTTACTTTAGTATCTGTCATCTCTTATTTTAGAGCATTTAACCCTTGCTATCATCATGCTAATACTATTATTATGCATGCCTATCTGCTGATGGCAGCATGGTTTGATTGAGATGACATTTATTTTGGGCTTTGTTTATGATGGGTGAAGTGAACTAGACTAGATTCCCATCATAAACAAAACCCAAAATAAATGTCATCTCAATCAAACCATGCTGCCATCAGCAGATAAGCATGCATAATAATAGTATTAGCATGGTGATAGCAAGGGTCAAATGCTCTAAAAATAAGAGATAACAGATACTAAAGTAAATGTCAAGGGTAGTGTAATGTGTTGTAACATAAATATACCTAAAAAGGATACAGGCTCAACAATAAAGAGCTATTCTTTACGCATGATTCAAAAACCATATATTGAAATACCGTTCTTGATCCATCAGATCAACAACTAAATGACCCAACAAAAATATATAAAGTAATGGAATCACTGGCAACTACTAAACTGCTGCCAGATAAGAGATATAAACCAAATAATATAAATAGAGACGTAGAATATACATTTTATTGCACATTATCCTAATTTCAAATGAAGAAGGATTTTAACAGTACTTTACCTGCTTTTTTAATCCCTTTTTACTGCAGCTGCGAATCTGGTAAAAACTACGATCCACAAATAAGTATGATTGATATGATATGAATTATCTTTTGTAGAATATTCAGTTGATCTTTAATTGCCTTTTCTGCTTAAACTGCGATGTGTTCTTTGTTAGAAGTACACTCCCTTTGGGTCAAAAATTTCAGGTAGCAGCTTTACTACGCCTACCATTTAACACTGAAAGTGCGACGACGAGCAGCTATTGAAGCAGTACAATTGCAATCTCATACATGTCGAACATCATAATCACGACGCAGTGTTTATTCAAAAGAAATTCGCTGATGCTACGCAAAATGGCAATTTTAGTAGTAATTTAATAACTTTAAATAGTAGAAATGATGTACAGAATAGTAATTTTGTAAAAATAGTATGAAATATAGAGTAATTTGAGTTGGTAGGGAGTGTAAAGGAGAGTGGGGGGAGAAATAAATAAGTAGTGTTCATATTATCATTATTGTTGCTGTTGTAATGAGGGTGGAGGAGGTTGGTTATCGAGCATGTAATTGCCAGGAACCAAGCCTCGTTGGCCAGCTCCAACTGGACCCAGTCTCTCGGCTTCCCACCAGCCGTCCATCTGCTTGTGTATAATACCAACTACTTCGTCTGCTTGGAAAGACATTTCACCGTCAATCTGCAAAACGACAGTTTGATTAGCGTAAGAAATAGAGCATAAAGTATCGCAAAAAGTACTTACAGTAGCTTCAAAAGGCCATTGCGCTTTAGCAAATCCAATAAAGCGATCAGCACTAAATGGTGCTTTAACTAATTGTGGTGGAGACAATTGTTGTTGCGTCGCTTGTTGCTGTTGCGGTTGGGAGGTTTGTTGTTGTTGCCCACTGTGATTGCTCTTTAAATCAGACTGTGAGAGCTCGTGAAGCGAAGGTTGCTTTTGGTACATGTGTTGTTGGCTAAGAGGTCTTGGTTGTTGCTGCATGTAAGGCTGATTTTGCTGTTGTTGTTGCATGTAGGATGGATCTGGAGGTTGTTGAGTATACATGGCAGCAGCAGCGGCGGCAGCAGATTCTTTCTCTTTCTCCTTTTCTTTCTCCTTCTTTTTTTCTTTTTTACCACCACCAAAGAAACCTAGAGAGAATCGACCCGTTTTGTTTTCCTTCTCTTTTGATTTGACTGACGATTCGCCATTAAACTGTTTGGCATTCTTTCCGAATCGTTTTTTGGTGTCCTCTTCGAAATTATGCTGCTGCTGTTGCTGTTGTATGAGCATTTGCTGTTGCTGCTGCTGTTGTTCAGAAAGCTTGATGGATGAAGATCGAGGCCCAGGCATACCAAGTTGATAGCTAGCATGCCCGTTTCCATAGTAACCGCTACCATTGCTCGGCAAAGGAGCTCTCATAACACGATGATCGTCAGCACTGAATTCTTCCTGCCAAGGTGCGGGACGAATACCACCCTCTTCTATTCCATTTTGCTGGTTATTGATATACCCACGAATGACATTTCGATCCATTGTTTGTGGTTGAGATTGCTGTTGTTGATGCAAATCCATCTTTTGTTGCACTGGAGACATTTGAGATCGTCTTTTACCGTCAGCAATGACCTGTTGTGCAGCATTCTGGGCCACATCAGACGCGGGTTTCACGGAATTGGGAATATCGATAGTGAGAGGGACAGTGGGTCTATGCGGTTTGGGATGACGGTGGACGTCGTCTTCGACATGATCTGCCTCAGCTGCTGCCGGAGACGTGTTTAGGTCAGCAGCAGAGGAATGCTCGGCTAGTGATGCGCTTGCAATAGGGGGAGGTGTGGGAGAGGCCATACTGTTACGAGAAGAGGTGGATCCATCAAACATTCTAGCATTCATTGCACGAACAGGTAATTGCTGAGGTCGACGAATGGATGAAATAACCCATTTCTCATCCTTTGGTGGTGGCCGTGGCATTCTGTTATGATATTCCTTCTCGTCTTCATTTTCCTCATAATCGTCATCGTCGTCGTTCTTGTTGATCATTTCACGATTCAAAGAAGAGGCTCTGCTGCCATTCTGAGACGAGGGGGGCTTCTGCGAAAGCAATAAGGAAGAGGTACGTACACCAACTACAGGCTTCATATTGGGTACTGTTTCTGGAGCTGCATGATTCATTTCGTCCTGAGAAGGAGGAATGTCCCTTGTCGTGAAAATGGCACCGTTGCTGTTGTAGACAGGATTTGGCATAGGTTTGTATTTCTGATTCAAGTCTTTGCTGGATCCGTTGCTGATCATAGATTCATTTCTAGTCGCCAGAGTATCAAAAGGCATAAGTATAGGTGTCTCTGATGAGAGAGGTGCAAGTTCAACGGCGCTGTTGGATTTGGCCACGCTATCCAATTGCTCCTTTTGCAAATCGTATTGGCTGGTAGCTCTTTCTTCCTTCATCCCTAATGCGTTGTAAATGCTACCAGAAAAGTCATCTGAAATAGGGCGGTTTGATGTGGTGGGAGATAGTTTCTCTCCGGCAGCAGGAGCAGCTGGTGGTATAGGACGAGCCATCATGATAGGAGGCAAAGATTGCTTAGGGCCATTGCTGGTATGAGAAGAGGAAGCATAGGATTCTCGCTTATTGTTTGTAGCTGCTTCAATGACGGCAGCAGAAGTTGCAACAGCGTCATGACTACTGTTCTTTTGATTCAAGATTTGCTCTACTTCCTTCATTGCTGTACTGACAGGGCCGTTGCTTTGATCTGTTGTATTTGTAGCACCAGACAATGGGGGTTGCTGTTGTTCTTTTTCTGGAACTTCTCTCTTCTCATCTACATCACCAGATGTCAGTTGCTGTGGCGAAGTTATGATATTGAATTGATGATTCTCATGTTCGCTTTGTGGAGTGGTGTTTTGCACTTCCAATTGACGCAGCTGGCGATCGACAGATTTCAGTTCTTCGTCAGGGTTGGTTAAAATAGTGACAGGTGGATGAGGAGGCAATTTCTTTGCTGCAGCAGTAGATTCAGAAGTTTCACGTGGGATGGCATCAGGAAGGGAATCGGCGGACGATGTTGTTTGAGGTAAAGGGGCTGATAGCGGTTGATCTAGATCACTATAAGTAGAGGTTGTTGCCATTGTTCCTATAATTGCAGGAGCAGCAGCAGCAACGCCAGGCATGATTGGAGCTGAAGTCACAGTTGCTGCAGATGTTGGCATTGTCGTCTGAATGTGCGATGCGTCGTAAAGCATTTCGTATTGCATTGGAGCTAATTCGTAGAGTTACAGATTAGGAAATTGATCACCAACAAATACAAAAGTACATCATATACAGTACCTGGTATTCTGTTCCCTGTTCCATAGCGTTGCACAAAGGCTGTAACATCCTTTTGAACATCAGTGATTTCCAAAGCAGTGCGTATCCTGTCACAGCATTCCTCGTCGATACTGAATGTAATTGTCATCATATTGGCAAAGGACCATAGTGTACTTCGCAGATAACTGATCCTTTTCACTTCCATCTCCTGATACACATCAGCGGTTGCGCTCCAATCATTCACCCACTTGTCATTGACAGCATTGAAATTATCGACAGATCGCTTATAAACTTGATCTAACATTACAATTAATAAAACGCATATTAAATCTGATTTCATCCTTGATGTTACCAGCAACTGCTACCATTCTTTTTTGTTCGTCAATTTCCTTTTCAATCTATGAGAAACATGGTTAGACAAAATAGTTACAATAATGATGATATGATCTTTTTATATCATGATTTACCTTGGCAATATCTTCAGTTGAGCCATTGCCTAATTCAAATCGATATGCCTCCATTGATTTTAGTTTGTTGTATTCGCTCAAACAGTATTCTTTGGCCTACAGTAAAGCATCAGCACAAGACGCAGAAACATACTTTTTGGTTGAACAATTTACTCGTGCGACATCAGCTTCGTGTAAGTTCTTGAGTTGCTTTGAATTCTCTATGTGTTGCTGTTGCTGCAATCAAAATAGTTGTCAATACAGCACATTCCCTGTATCACATCCATCTTTCTTTACCATTTTGCGAACATCTCTTTGATCCTTCAGAAACCCGTCCAGCGGTACCTCAAGGTGATCCTGTAATTGCTGTGCTAGATCAATATGAGCACGAGCAGTTGTTTCCAATGCAGAGGGGATGCGTGATAAGGTCTCTGCGAAACTGTGCTCTTCAAGCTCTCCTATTCTCGATGTCTGTGCTAGCTTCAAGAGACGCTCGCCATAGTCTTGTTCGATGCTTGCGCTGTAAATCATACACGTATAAGCACTTTGATCGTGTTGCAGTTCTCTTTTCGTCTGATGTTACCGTAATTGATAGAGTTTCTTCAGTTCTTCGCATGTGTCCTTTGATTTTCTCAAACGATTGGACAAAATCTCGACGCCTTTGCTTTGATCATCCTATTGTGTGTTCTTTTGTCAGGAAAAGCTACTTGGCTAAAAGGACATGGAGTAATTTACCCAAAAAGCATCTTTGAAGCTTATGCCAGTGTTACTGGATGGTTGTTGTTGTTGCTGCTGCTGTTGTTGATGCGGATGCTGCTGCTGCTGTGGATGCGCTATTCCAGAAGCCATCATAAGTTATGAAGCTTTTTCTTTTGCAAAAAAAAAATTAGAGAGGAAAAAAGTATGATGAAATTGGTATTTCCTTCAATAAAATAAACTTGCTCAGTTGGAAAATAAAAAAGAAAATGTAGCCAAGAATTTTATTTATAGGATTCGAAACGAAAGAAGAAAAAAATGAAATTGAGTGACGACAGTAATAGGAGGAGACAGAGGAAGGAAAGAATGAAGGGTCAAAAGGGGTGTAAGGAAGATTACAGTGTGGTGACAGGTTCAGCCAATGTGGTCAATCGCTCAGCCAGCCAGCCACAGCGAAATGCCAATGCTGGGCCACTTTTTACATTTTACATATTCAACCGTAACTCTTTCTTCCATCATTTGAGTTACTGAGATTAAACAGTGAACAGAACATAGGATGTGATTGTTTGTGAGATGCATACAGTTGCGCTCTGTTCATATTTTTTGCTCGAAAACATCAGCTATACCAGACTTTCCTCAGTCTCCCATTCTAGGTTATCCACATCAAACTTCATTGCTCCGTATTTTTCTGGCATTTGAGATTCCTTCTTGAGACGTGTCCAATGTAGAGAGTTTCCCCAACATTTGAATAAAATGGAATGAATATTCGGGCAGGGCCTGAAAATGTCTTTTTCACCACAGAAATGCTGCAATAGAAGTGTTCTTTTCAGCGAGTTGTTCTGGACCACATTTTCATGTGTATATTTGTGCTGGAAATAGCAATATGTACACAAAGAGAAGCTCTCTGTATCTATGAGTAGAAAGCGATTGACATTGCTACGCGGATTCTGAATCCAAAGTGCCAGTGATATAGTGGCATGATGATTACATATCTCTTGTCAGGGGAAACCATTATCGTTTCCATGGCAACAAAATGATTCCGAGCACCATTATCATGTATCTTGGCTGTGATAACGTAATGCCCGCGGATGATAAAAATAAACAAAACGGACGAGATGCCACAAACAGCATTTATTTGTAAACAAGGAAATAGGTGCGTTCTAGAGTATCCCAAATGCTGCTCATCCCAAAAATCCACGGTTTAACCATACTACTACCCACTAGACAGTGATTGGTTGGATAAAGGTATTACGGAAATAAAAGGATTTCTCAAAAGGTTAGGTGCAAAGTTTACACACCTTTTTTTTTTTGCGGGGTGAGTCATTTTAAGAGATGCTATTATTAGTCTCACCTATTCATTTAGTCATGCTGCCATAATTCCACCCAATCGACTTGGACATGGGCCGACCCATTTTCATCATGCTAAACTAAGCTGTATTTGGAACAAAATGTCCCACGGCATATAGTTTCATATAAATAGGGATCAAATTTGAAATTTCAGAAGTGATCTTCAGGTTATCATATTAACTCTTTCTTTTACATTACCAAACTCTCTCTGTCTATTACTCTAAAATGGATCCTGGTTACAAGCTTCTCCAACACATCAAGACTGTCCCCAACTTGATCAATGAGGACCCTAGTATCACTACCCCCAAGAACTCTAGCTTTATGGACATGCCTTGGTCTGAATTCTCCAAATTGCTCAATACAAACAAGCGTCGCTCCTCTGCTTCAGCGAGTAGTACTACCTCTGAGGAATCGACCGATTCTGATGCCACTAAGGAAGACTTTTCTCTTGGTAATTGGGACTCTATGACCGGCTATCAAGACAGTGAACATAGAAACACTTTATAAACTACTCATTAGCAATCCACATCCAAGCACATTTCTTTTAATTATAGCATTCGTCAGTTTTTTTCTCTCTTCCTAAATAATGTCATACCTCTCTGTTTCTCTCTCTACTCAATAAACATCACTCTTGTTAATCTTCTGTTTGTAACACACTACTTATAATGATTCTCTCACGATCCATGTCTTGTAGAACTAATTTGAACTTGGCGGATGATCCTCTAACGCATCATGAACACTACTTGGCAAATATGATTCAAGCTGAAAAGCAGACAAGCATAGTATTGTCGTGTCTACTCAGGATACTACTGCTCTACAAACATGATGCTCGCTACAAGAACTCACCTCGCTATCTAAGATTGTGGATTACCTATATTTTCTATCTTCGTACACCTCTCATTTATCCTACTTTATTTGGTTTGATAGATAACAGAATAGGCGATAAGGTTGCTCTTCTCTATGAAGCTATTGCATATCAGCAATTGAAAGAAGGACGGTAAGCTTCATATGAGAGCGCATAGCTATCTGACTCAACGTGCTCTAGATACCGCGATGTGGAGGCGACACTCAAACTAGGCATCAGACGAAGGGCTTTTCCACTAGGCAAGCTGAATCGCATCTTGCAAGAATACAAGTCGACTGGATCACTGCACTTTGATGTGAGCCAATACACACTGGATTCATACCAAATATCGACTCAAATCGATCAACATGAAGAGCATGCAGCTAACGTAAGGAATACTTGGCTGTCCATGTATCCAATGCTTAGCTTGATGGTCGATACAATGTAGGTGCTAAATGTCAACCAGCCTTTGAGATGCCATTTGAATTGGATCAATTTGAAATTGCAACATGCAACACGCGCAAATGTACTTCGTCGATGCTCCAAGCACCATTCTTCCTATGAGGAATTGCGAGCCAAAACCTATTACAATGGTCTCATTTACAACGCAATCAACATGGGTCAATGTATCAAAAAAGGGGGGAACAATACCGTACGGGGTTTTACATTTCAATTGCAAAAGGAGACTCCTGCTGCTCTATTCCCGCATTATAGTAGCAAGGTTATTCCGGTCCAAGAAAAGGAGACGAATGATCATCAGCAGGTGGTACAATTGCCACACAATCCTGGTTTTATTGCACATCAACTCATGCTGAGTGGTGTACTTGACCGTGAGACTTACCACTTTCTAGACACATCAAGTGCACAAGATGATATTCTGGTCAAATTAAAGACTTGGTTCCATGGCAAGGCATCCAGCAAGCTTGTTCAGAAAAAGCCCATCATGTTGGACAAGGACTCATTTCACGTGGTGCGCCAACTAGGCCAAGGTGGTCTGGCTGATGTCTATTTAGTTCAACACACAGAAACCTCTGCCTATTATGGTCTCAAAGTACAACAGCCTGCTCATCCTTGGGAATATTACATACTCTGCCAGATACACAGCCGAAAATCAACTGATATCAATGTACTGGACGTGTATGATTTCTACCACTACAGCGATGCGAGCTTTCTGTTGATGCAGCTGATTCGAAACGGCACCTTGCTAGACGCTCTCAACTTGTATCGTCTCTCCAAATGCTGCATGCCTGAATCAATTGTTGTTATCATCATCACACACTTGCTGGAAGAGTTGATCAAGTTACACCACATTCAAATTGCTCACAATGACCTTAAATTGGATAATATCATGCTAGTCTTTTCCTCTGTAGAAAGAAATATTGCTGAATTCCCAAGGTTAATGATGATAGACTTTGGTCATTCCATCAACGTGTCAGCATTACCTCCGCATAGTTTATGTAAAGCAAACTGGCCACCAGCTTGTCCAAGATCAGACTTTCCAAAGCTGAATCAACCATATCCGCCATTCCACGCAGACTATTGGCAATTAGCGGCTATGGTACACCTGCTGTTGTACGGTACACCCATGCTGACAAGTAAAACCAGCCGTGAACAGTACACAATATTACAGCCTATTCGACGCTATTGGCAAAAGGACGTTTGGACGGATTTCTTCCAGACCTTACTGAACCCAACACTGAGCTCTGAACATGTCAAACTGCAAGATCTACTGGGCCGATTTCAACAAGCTAGTCGAAATGTACCTCGACACGAAATCAACTCGTTCACATCGATGCTCCAGGATAAAGTATTTACTAAATAGCTATTCATTTGGCATTTCGTAATGTAGAAATAAACTATTTTCCCATCTTTTTCAACCGGAGCTGTGTCATTTAAGTGCAATGGGTTAAATTAGTTGGGGCGAAGGACACTGCTAGGACACAATTTGTGTCTTCGGATTATTAAGGCGCAACCTAACTCAACTTGTCGCTTTTTGGAGGCAATAACATGTTGCAGGGCACAATTGCATTCTATTGTAAACTTGTATGTGTGCCCAATTTAAGAACAGAACAAGCTTTCATCCAAACATTAACATAAAAGGTGATTATTCTTCAAGCAGTGGTTTCATAGAGCTATAAAAGGTGATTTTTGTCAAGACCTACCCTACTATGTTCAATACTGTTGATTTGGTGCCTGAAAAAAGCTGCGAGATCTCTTGAAGTTAAAAAAAAAAAAAAAAAAAAAAAAAAAAAGAGGCATGCACTATTCAATAATCATGAAATGTGCCTCATGTAAATGTTCAGGCAAGCAAAATACATGGGCCTTGTCAATATCTAATAGCCATCATCAAGTACTGTGCTTATGGAATCAAGTAACATAGTCTGTAACAAGGTATCATACGAAATCTGAGCTGTGGTAGAATGATATACACAATGCATTGCTTATACGGTATTCCGCTATATGTCCAATCTCAGAGATGGTAATGTTATCCTCATCCAACATGCGACACAGAAAAAGATGTCTTTCTTTGATATCAAAGCTGTTGATTTATTTGATTGTGGTTTGAGCAAGAGCGTCAATCCCATTGCAATTATTGACGGCATCAGTGCCAGTGTTCAGGAATTATTCGTTTCTAGTGGCTTCTCTCACTCTTTTTGAGTCGATCAATCGGTTTCAAATGCTGCAAGAGTATTCTGACCCTGCAACCTCTCTTGGAAACGAAGAAACATTCGTCAAGTATGAAATGACAGCCAACAAAGTCGACAATGCTGTCTTTTCCAATAGGCGAAAGAAGAGGAAGAAGCCATCAGTCAAGAAGCTACAGAAAGGAAGGGCAACTGGACAAATCCGCTTGAAGAAACTTCACCAACATTTGGTAGCCAGTGAAGCCAGATCTGCTGCAACCATGTCCACCTTCAACAAGCCAAAGATGGTTTCCTTCATAGGAAACTGGCATCGCAATGCTCAGTACCTCCGTGGCCACAGTACTCGAAGTATGAAGCCGTACATGTCAACGCTATCCACAAGAAGCACAGTCAGATTGGTGGATGAATACAATTCTACAAAAATTTGCTGCTCCTGTTTCAAGGAGACACAGAAACAACTGGCGCGTGATGAGGATAATAGAATGAAGAGGAACCTCGGTGCCGTTACATGCTTTAACCCTGAGTGTCCAAAAAGGCTGGCTAAACAAACTACCATGAATCGTGATGAGCAAGGAGCGAGTAACATTGCCCTCTTTGGTTTTTCGGCACTGGTCTCACTTGACAACAAGGTGTTGCCTCCTTTCAGTCGAGTTCAAAATCCTGATAAGTAAGTTGGCCTTTTCACTGGGATCTATCAGCAGATTTTTTGACCTCTTACTTTTTTTATAGGTACGTCTTATCCCCCACTTATTCACATGTCTTTGCACGCCAGACTGGCAATACGAGGACACCCGCTTAGTCGGTGAATTATTGCAATAAAACCAATTAGTTGCATCAAATATGTCATGATTCATACGATGCGTCAAATTTATTACTAATATTAGGTTGCGCCAGACTATTCAGCGAATGGCATCTTGAATTCAGGCACTGACAGCATTCCAAAGCCACCAATATAGGACGCATCCGAGTAGTGTCTTGTAGTTGTAGCTTGCTCTAGAGAAATGCTTGACGCTCTAACTCGAGAGAGCGCTCTAGTCCGACATTCCTTTACTCAAAACTATCATGGCGCTTTGCACTCAATAGATTACTGATCTAATCGAGGCTGTTTCCTTAGCAAAGCATCGGCTCAATAACGGACTTGGTGTGTTTTAGTAATTTGCTCCTGATTTGGAAGTGAGAAGATTACACTTGACATCGTGGAAAACTTGCACAACATTATTTATTTTTAGGTATAATGGCTCTCCATAAACTTATGTTCTTATATGAATTTTGCCTGCTTTTGTCATACTTCTTACGCCCTTGTATGGCTTATATCCCTCATGGAATAATCGAAGGCTGTCAACTTTTAGGCCGGACACTGCGTACATGTTGATCTGGAACTCCAGGCCTATACTCATGCCAACTTCCGGATTGGATTCACTTGTGCTAAATGTGCCAGATAAGACAGGCGCTCTGTCTCTTTGCGAAAGTTTACCAATTTCCCAGCGGATAGACTGTGTAAAGACAATAACAGTCAATGACATGCTATCTATTGACCATCACGAAATGTGTAGCTATTACCTTATTGGCGGGATCATACATGTATTGCCCAGAGTTGCATGTTGCGTTGACGCTCGTTGTGCTTTTTGGCATAGGCAGTGTGAGCACAATCTTTTCAATGGGCTTTGCATCTGTTGATCTGGGATGAACAGTGATATCGAATCGACCTCCGTTTTTAGTGGGCATGATTTGCGGTTTGATTTGTAGCGGCATGGCTTGATAGGGTGACAAAGATGCTCTGCAATTTATATCAGAGTCAATATCAAATCCTCTCTTTGCAGCTGGATAACATATACCTGTATGACATGAGCTTGAAATGTCCATCAGGAGGGACAAAAGACAAGACTTTTTCGCTGTCCCATTTACGATATCTAGGTCAAAAGCATCAGTTGACTATCCTCTGCTCTGCACCAGAATTCATAGTACATCTTACCTTACACAGGGATGGAAGCTCACATCATCAATCACCTTGGCATTTACAAAATTCAACGACAGATCAGGCATGCCACTCAACTTGCTATTTGCTTGCACATTGCCATGCGCTTCGCAAGATACAGCTGTACCATTACTATCCAACGTGTCAGGGCCATATCCTCACCAAATCCTTTGCTATACTTACGCTGCGATGGTAGCGTCAATTTCCTCGATAATATCAAAATAGATTTCATTTTGTGTGTATTTGACACCAGCCTTTCTCCATGGTATGTTTGACATACTTTGAGGAAACTTGGGCGCCACGCTATATAAACCAAATCAGATTTCCTTTGCACAGCTCCACCTCTATTCTATCTTACCCTGCAGCTGCTCCTACGGTAGTCATCATCTTGTTCATGATGGTGGGTGGCATAATAATCTCCTTGAGGGCATTAGGTTCGGTTGTCAAGGGGTATCCATAATCCATCATTTCCTCCAACAACTAGCCAGATATGAGTATCAGTACCAAGGCAGCCACGTCCATGCAGCAGCAACTTCTTACCTGATACACAGTGACAAAGTTTTCTCTGATAGATGACTCTGATACCTCTCCCAGATAATCGGTCAGAATATCCATGATACGATGAATAAACTCAAACACCAGCATAGGATCCACTATTGCCTGCTGTCAGTCCCCTCATCTATGAACGCACTGATCTCGCGCAAACCTTCTCTTTCAACGGGACACAGCCAGGTTAAATCGTCTCTCAATACGTTCAGCAACCAATACTTGTTTGACTCCAATACAGGGGGGACATCCTCTCGAGTGAAATAAGGGTCCTTCATCGATAGGCCTTTGCCTCCATTGTTGTCTTCCATAGAACCAGGCAAAGAGTTTTTGAACTTGGTGCACTCGTCATTGAACACATCGACAATTTGTCTAGAAATGATGCCACGCCAGTGCTTTTCAATGATGATTTTACTAAAGCCAGATGCTCGAGTCAAACGCCATGTAGAGACTGTATCTGTGGCATGCTTACCCTTGGTTATTAATCACAAACAGCGAGTTAATCATCTTTAGGTCAAGAAATACGCGATGAAGCAGAACAAGTGTTTCGCTTTAAAGGAGTGTAATCTCTTATTCACACTCTTCTCGGGCTTGATTTTGTTGCGCAGAACTGTTTGGTGACTCCTTTCGCCTTAATAAGGCTTTCTGTGGATCGTTCAATATGGCTAAAAACCTGCTTGATGTGGCAAAAAAAAAAGCTTTTTTTCTCTTTTCTTTGGCTGTCTACAAGAGATAGTATTCAAGAGACGTCTTTGTTCGATTCTCGCACAATTTTACCAATACAATTATTTAATCTCCTTGATTGCATGCACATGAATATCTCAAAATGCCTGACACAACGACAACGACACCATCTCCACAACCTCCATTAGAAACTGAAAACAGCAGCGAACAACCTTCCGAAGAGTTATTGAACATTGACAAGAATGAAGAGTAGGTTGCAGTATAGCACAGTAGGGAGAGTTTCCTGTTGTACTTACGTTGACTCTATAGCTATCAATCAGTCCTACAAGCATTGCAAGTGCTGAAGCAGCAGTTGACAATCGCTACTAATGATGTACAGGTGCTTGGCACTCTGAAATCTGAAGCACTCGAGGATCCCTATACGTTCATTGGCAACCTGAGGAAAAAGGTAAGCCAACAAAACCTGCCATTCGTCTTTCAACTGTCTAATGTGTTATTGTAGACATCCAAGAGCAAGATGCCAAAATTACAAAAAGTGGTTGCTGTGCCCAACATCAATTGGAATAAATACCGCTTTTTGCCTGAATCAAGAATCGTGCAACAGCAGGCTGCTTTAAATGATTTGATATTACAGACCAAACGATCTGCTTACTGCGTAAAGTATCTTCAATATAGAACTAGACCATCATCGACTCATGCTAATTTTATAGAACATCTTGGACACATCGATGGAATATACCACCAATGCCACAACACCTGTCGCTGTAAAAAATCTTCAGCAAGAATTAGTGAGGGCAACACAAGCCATGCGTCAAATCCCCTCACGTGCCAATTCCGTTTCAGACTTTTCAGAGGATGAAGATGATTCAGAGAGCGTCGCAACGAAAGCAACACCTAGATTAAAGACGACCCCTAGATCAATACGCGGTATAGCACCACCATCAGAGAGACGGACCGTGTCTGGAAAAGGCAAAGGAAAAAGGAGAACATCCACTGTTCAAACTGGAAGAGATTTGCAGTCGAGCACCATGGACATGTCAGAAACAGAAAGGTAACATTTTGCAGTCGGAGAGCATACTCATATAGGCATTTTATCTCATTCAAATACTAGTCCTATTAGATCAAGACTTCAATCAATCGAGCCTCGTACACCCGATGAATATACACCTGTGGAAACAAATTCAGTAAGTTGGATATTGATTGGATTCAAGTGCATTTGTATTCATGACAACATTCAGGACGATCCATCTCGTGCTCCGACATTCAAGCAGCCTTGGTCAGACCAAGAACAGGTATACAGTGGTACAGACGAGAAGCCAAGAGACAACAACTCACACTACTGACAATAGGAACGTTTGCAAGAGCTTTTGATCACTTTTCCAGACGAACCTGTGCAGGCTCAGCGATTCAATAAAATATCCAAAGCATTAGGCACGCGAACACCACGGCAAGTGGCGAGCAGAGTGCAGAAATACTTTATCAAGTTGGCTAAAATGGGGTTACCTGTTCCTGGAAGAATCACTATTCCTGTAAGTAAAAAAAAAAAAAAAAAAAAAAGCTCTCTTTGATCAATAAGGTTCATACTTACATTCCTGCGTGGCATTTTCTTAGCCTTCGTGTATGCCTAAAGGCGATAACGGTATCAAAAAAGTAAAAACGAAAGCAAAACCCAAAAATCAAGGTCGCATCTCCAAACCTGCTGCCCCTCCTGCATTACGCACCACGGGTGTTGGCTACAACAGTGCTATATCTGGTGGCATTACAAATACAAGAATCTCCGGTGGCCATTATGCGAATACAACGGGCCCTCCAGCTGTGTACATGTCAGACGATGAGGAGGATTCAAATGTCAAGGAAATGATGCGCAATGTAAGTCCCGTATGGACCATGCTTCTTTTCTTTTGCTGATTACGATGGTGATTTAGGCGACGAATGGAACAACTGAAACGAGTGATCTAGTGATTCACGAAGGGTTTGCCGTAAGTGATCCTAACTTTGCACTAAATGCGTGTACTCAACTTTGTCTCATTTAGTGTGATTCTTGTGGCGCAGAGCCCATTGTAGGTGTATTGTACAAATGTACCATGTGCGATATGAGCGAAGAAGTTGATCTATGTGGCAATTGCATGGAAAAAGGCACATTTACAAATGGTAATCAATTGCAGCAGCTATTAAATCATACATGAAATATTAACTCGACATGTAGATCACCATACACTAGACCATACATTTGAAGCGGTGCGCACTGCAAATCCACTACCGTATTATGCTGATAACGACTATAAATCACCCGAACACTTGGGAGAGTATAGTTATCTTGGATTCTAGCTGTATCATAATATAATAAATTTATAGATCCTAAACACTTTTAAATCCTCAAAAAGAAAAGAAGTTAATCTAATAAGTATTTTGATAGACTGGCGTTATTAAATATAGAATGCAAGGAGAATAGCATGGCTAACGATAGTGTTATGTAATTTGCCGCCTACTTTTCATACGCTTCAAAAGCATCTATTCTTACTGTTGTATTGCCTTCATGATGAAAAGGGCATTGAGTTTGCCAGCCGACCCCATTAGCTGCCAAAATTAGTTTCAACTCAGACTCATATTCTACTCCAGATTGGACAGATTCTAGTAGTTTTTCGACTTGATTCAACTCTTTTGCCAGATTCGACTATACAGAGTATGATGATCATCTCATGCTTCCTAATACATTCTTGGAGTGCTTTTCAAGGCGCACCCAATGGTATCAAGTAACATAGATGTTTTGAATAAACTTATTGAGCAATTTATGAAAATATGGAAAGAGGTTTCTGGCCAAAATGTCGAAATTTTACATACCAAAGTTCCACAAAGATGATTTCAGTGGCTACGTTGGATCAACAGAAACATTTTGATTCAAGATATACCATAGTAAAAGTCTCCATTATCAAGGCAAAAAACGCGATTGTTTAATTTTCGATGAAAACCATGAGGGGTACCTCATGCTTTTTGATTGATTTTTGGCCATGTTTTTTGGGTCTTCAAAAAGTTGAGCAAAGGTGTCAGGAAGTAAGTGCTAGGTGAGAGCAATTGTTTGGTGCTATTCTGACCATTTAAAACGGCCTTGAACACAAGAAAATACAGCTCAAATCCACTCGAATTTTGCTGTATCAGGGACACTAAGGACTAAAAAGGGGAAATATTAGTATGCTGCTTGCTCGTATATGAAGTAGCTATGCGTATATGGATGTAAAGCATCACATAAGAATGAGACTCACAGATAATATGAAGGGTTTTTATGTGTAAGTGGAGGGCCAAAATGAAAGTGTCAGTATTTTGATAAGATACGCAAGGGCAGTCGGTAGCGCGAGCTGCTGCAGCGCCGGTAGGTTCTCACCGAAGCGAAGCGAAAGTAGAGAGCCATCCAAAGCATAAACGCACTTATAGTATAGATTAAAGTACCCTTGCTGAACATCACCTTCACTTTATATACTGGAAAACTATATTTTTAAAAAATAGACAAGCCAACCACATTGTTTCAAAGAATTGAGAGCTGGACAAAGGTGAATAAAACTACCGAAGAAGCCGACAATGGGAAGGGGGGGTTTACCGTAGCGAAGCAAAGGTGCAAACCCATGGTAATTAGGTATTGAATCCAATACTTGATAGCATTGGTTTTAATGACAGCTTTACCGTTGCGAAGCAAAGGTGCAAAACATATGACAACCAAGCATGTAATTTGTTGAGTCTGTAGAGCTACGTGAGTTCAGTAACTCAGCAGTAGTCGAGTTATATATAGTGATTATGAAAGTTCGTGCTTGTGAATGACGATGATGGATTTGTGAATTGTATTATCGTAACTGAACTGCTGATCGGATCCTTCATAACGATCGATATTGAACATACAAAACTCGATGTATTGAGTCATTTAACAACAAGATGGATTGATTGTTTTAGCGATGATAATTTAGTATAAATAAGATGTGCTTGAATCAGTTAGTAAATCATTAAGTTTTCGTATCCGGTTACTTTTTAGTCTTCCTTTGAAATCTATCTTAATTTGTTAATATCGTACCTGTGGATACAACATAATCCAACGTTAGTTAGCATTATTGGTTTATATGAGGGCTTGATCGCAGTGAAGCGAAGGTGCAAAGCCTTAGTATTCAAACAACAAATTTGATTTCTCATTCCCTAAATTAATAATTGATCGTTTGAAATCTACTTATTATATAGCAGATTTTTAGTATTACTGTTTGAAATGTTTACAGCGACAGCCCGCAGGACGGCACCATCGTCGAGCGTAGAGAGATTACATCCAACTCAGCATTTGGTAATATTAGTCTTAATGGGTTTTACCGTAGCCAAGCAAACGTGTAAAACTATAGTATTCAAGCAGCAAATTCGGTTTCTTATTTCCATTATTATCAAACTTACCAACAACATAGCACATCAAAATTTGCATGAAATAGCTTTACCAAAATCAATATGCCTCCTATTCAAATTAAAAATTGCACAGGCTATGGAACTACCCTTCCAGTAAATTGCAGTTACCAAAGATGTGATTCATGCTGTGTAAATAAAAGCTATTGTAAAGCAAAACACAACCAAATTGGATGGTTTTCAAGCCTTCGTATCTTGACATGTAGACCTTTCTGAGCCGCCAGAATAACGTCAAACAATTGTACTTGAGTAGTAGTAACTTACTGGCCCCTTTGCTCAACTTTTTGAAGACCCAAAAAACATGGCCAAAAATCGACCAAAAAGTATGAGGGGTACCTCATGGTTTTCATCGAAAATTAAATGATCGCATTTTTGACCTCGAAAATGAACACTTTTACTATGATATGTATTGGGTTAAAATGTTTACCATTGAGTAGGTTGGTTTTTATTGGAATTCTGTATATGATACAAATAATGATGTGATGAAATGAAGGTGTGCGGGGGGTATTTACAACTAGGAAATGTGTTTTATGTATAAGGTGGGATTAGTAAAAGGGAGCAAGAGGAGCAGTTACTGCTTCTTCAGGCTGGAGATGTTTGTATGGTGGTGATCACGGTTCATGGCATCAATGCCCTTCTCGCAAACCAAGATAGACTGGACCCATTCGTTTTGCAAGACTTGTTCTGCAGTGATACGCGTGTCAGGGTTGGGGTCCAGCATACGATAAATGAGTTCACGCATTGAATCAGGAAATTTTTTGAAATTTGGAAACGAGTGAGTGACACTGTGACGAAGGTAGTTGCGGAATTCGCGATCGGATTTCTTGTCAGCACGAATCCAAGCATGGCCACCACGCCACATGGAATACATGACAATGCCCGCCGACCAGATATCCGCATTAGCGCCCCAATACTCGTGGTCCTTTTCAAACGCTTCAGGCGCAATGTAAGGTTCAGAGCCCACCAGACCACGGCTTTTGTGGCCCGTCTTTTCCCAAGCACAACGAAAGACATCCGAGACACCAAAATCAGTGATTTTTAATTTGCCGTCCAGCGTCAGTAAAAGATTTTCAGGCTTGATATCACGATGAGCAACGCCCACAGAATGAAGGTACGCCAAACCCTGCATCATTTGTTTGAAGCAGCAAGACAATTCCACATCGGTCATGTGCTCTGACATGATGACAGAGAACAGATCGCCACCGGGGCAATATTCCATCACTGTGCAGTAACGACTCTGATCGTCCAGTACCAAATCAATTGTCTCCACCACATTTACATGACGAAAGGTAGAGGAGATGCAGAATTCACTGGTCAGCTTTTTCATGTATTCCTTCTCAGATTCAGTCTTGTTGCGCTTTCGGAATTGCTTGATGGCATACAGCTTGGAAGACTTGTTGCCTTGAGAATCAGAGGTGGGAATGATCTTCTTGCTTCGACACACAGAGATGACGGCAGTTGAACCTTTGCCCAGTCGTTTATAGCATTCGCCATATTCCCGAAGATTGGTTGTATTCAGGCGATGCAATTTGCTAGTCCCTGCTGATACGGAATCACTGATAGAGTCGCAGCTCTTGACGGTGGTGAGTGTCTGTCTGGACGGCGATGGAGATAGCTGAACAGGTGTGCTACTCGAGGACGTATCGTCTGTTAATTTCGTGCTGTGCTGTGTGTGTTTTGCTTGATGCTGATCCGATCTTGATTGCTGCTGAGACTGATGGTGCATGTGTAATTGCTTCCACAGCCAACTTTTGCCTTCCTCAAATGTTGTGTCCGTCGATGAAGTGACAGATGAGTCCCTCGAATTCCGTCTGCTAGTTTGTGTCGAACAGATTCTGGAGCTGGGCTTACCGTGAGACTTTTGCTGAGGCAAATGGAAGATATTGGATAGATGAACCATAGTTGTTTTGACGGAGAAGGACAAGGAGGGAAAGTGCAGGGAAAGAAAGATAAGAATACGTAAAAAAAAAAAAAAAAAAAAAAAAAGCCTTTTCTTTGTACGGTAAAAGAAACTATATCAATTCTTTTTCTCCTTTTTTGTATCTGCTTCTGATTTGTTTGTAAGATGTCAAGGTGGAAGAAACGTCTGAAAAATTTGATTTAAATTTTTGACTGAAAGAAGAAAAAGGAAACGGCACAAATGTTGTGGCCAGGTATTTATATCAACTAGAGAAAAAATTTACTAAATGTTACCCTTGGGATGCGAAGAAAAAAGCCTCAAGAAATCAAATCATTAAATGGAAACATTTTGATCGGAGACAATGCCTTAACATGGCAAAAGCATTCATAATCCAGGATGCTCATGTCCAATCAAGTAGGTTTCATATGTCAGCAACTTTGATTTCATAGCATTGATTCGACTCGGGCCTTTTTCAGATGGTTTAAATGGGTACAAGCACCTTAAACTTTTGGGATTTATTTTGCCTAAAATGGACATTTATAGTAGCACACCTTGTCAAAAGATACTGATACGAAATCCGCAAAATGCAGCCTCTGAGAAGGTTTGCATCATACAGCACCAACAGCTGAAAGGGGCTACTTTTTAAAGCTGTATTTGGTAATTTTCAAGATGCCAGGGGTGAGTGTCGACGGTGCGATGATATCAGAATTTTGTAACTGAAAAATTAACTCAAATCCTTATCCAGTGAAGCTATATTTGCCATTTTTAAACAAATTATCAGAAACGAGGTTACAATAAACATTGACTGCATAACCTTTAATGCAATAATTAGTGCTCCCTGTTCAAAGCGGAAGCTTTCTTACGGGAATCGATGGCCATCAGATGATTTAGTAGTTGGCTTTCAATTCAATCTTTCATCGTTTTCCCATGCCATGTATTAGTTGTAATCTACTACAGAAGAGACGTCTTGTGAAATCAAGAGGACGAGATGCTCTGAGAAACAGGAGTCATCGTTAATAGCGAAGAAAACAAGAACATCACAATAACGTTTGCACAACGCATGGTGTGTTATGGTATCCTACCCATGTATTGAAATTTTGCGTTTTCATCTTCCAATGTTACTGAGAACCCTTCATAAACCATCCGTAGCTGTGTATCTAACTCTGTTGGGATGCTCCACGTTAGCACCTATGGAGAAAATTCCTACACGGGTGTACAGCGTACTTGCAAGACCTGTTACTGCCCAAGAGTAAGCAGAACACAGCTTAATTAAGATACGTTTGAGCCGTAATTTCTCGAGCTGAAAGCCGTTTTAAACTGCCGGAATAGCACCTAACAATTCCTCTCGCCTAGCAGTAACTGTCAGATACCTTTGCTCAGCTTTTTTTTTTTTTTTTTTTTTTTTTTGGTCGTCGAAAATCGAACAAAAACCATGAGGGATACCTCATGATTTTCATCGAAAATCGAACGATCGCATTTTTGACCTTGAAAATGAAGACTTTTATTATGACATGTATTGAATCAAAATGTTTCTTTCGATCCAAAGTAACACCTGAAACTGCTTTTGTGAGACTTTCATAAACAAAACCTTGACATTTTGGCCAAAAACGTCAATTTCTATCTTCAAAAATTGCTCAATAAACTTGTTCAAAACATCTACTTTAATTGGTACCATCGGATGCGCCTTGAAAAGTACTTCAAGAAAGCATAAAGGGGGGTATAGACGGATCACCACTTTTCATATAGTCGAATCTGGCGAAATAAGTCGAATCGAGTTCAAAAAAGTTCGAAATTGAACAAATCAGGATAGAAATTCATAAGCGGAGGTCTAATTGTTTTGGCTGCTGCTGGTGGTTGGTGGCAAAATGCCTTTCTTCATGAAGACGAACGATGTTTGTGATGCTGATGCGAAGGAGATTGCGATTATAGCTTAGCTTACCTACTGTATTTTGCTTTCATTGTGAATTCTCATATCTAATAGATTTAAATGATGCAGATTGCTCACTTGAATGCGAAATTCAATGCTAAATGTCACTGTGAGTGTGATCCACAGATGATGTCGACAACGATAACACTCTGCATGGTGCTGAGCTACGTTAAAGAGTGTTTCGACCAAGTAAAGTGCCATCAACGACCTTTCAATGACAAATCCCCATCAACTCTTCCATATACAGTGGCTCAAAGCAACACCGTAGAGCTTGATTAAAATATTTCCCTTTGAGGTAAATCGAGACGCACATTTAGCCTTTTCGTCTCTCCACAAACCCACATCACATCAAACACTTGATCCTCGCACTGACTGACAAGCCTCCAAATATAAATATAATTAACAATAAAAGAATGTTTTCCCTTTTTTTATTAATTATGAAAGAGATGCAACGTAATTAAAGAATTTAAGCAGATTCCTCCATGACGTTACGCTCGGAAACGTAGATACCATCCAAGAACTTACGGATATCCTTGTTCTTGACGAGACAAGATTGTTGAATATCAGCAGCAGATTGAGAGACGTTTTCCAAAGAGTTACCAGTCAAGGTAAGCTCATCCTTTTGGTTCTTGGAAGCGGCAACAGTGACACCTTCACGCATCTTGACGTGGAAGACAACCTTTTGACCCAAGAAGTTACGGATCTCAACAGCATCAGCAGCATCGTTAATGATAACGTTGATGGGGAAATGAGCGTAGACATAACGCAACTTGTATTCGAAACCCTTGGTGACACCAACAATCATGTTGTTGATCAAAGAGCGAACAGTACGGATACAGGCAACGTGCTTACGGAGACCGTGGTGGACAACAAACTTGATCTTTTGACCAACAACGGTGATCTCAATGTTCAAGTGACGGAGGTTCTTGGTGAGAACACCACGGGGACCCTCAACAGTAACTTGACGAGACTTGATGGAAACGGTAACACCCTCAGGGATGGCGAGTTCGTCTGACTTGTAGATATCCTTCATTGTAAAATTACGCCCTGCATCAACGGTTAGTATACAGTGCTGGTGTTATAGTGTAATGTGTGTGTGTGTGTGTGTGTGTGTGTGTATGTATGAGTATGGTGTGATGAACATGTCAGGCTGGCCACTATCCTACTATTTGAATCCATCCATCCATCCACGTTGCAATCCATCATTTGCAAGAGAGACATCCATCCATCCATATCAATCACAACAACAACAGCAGCAGCAGCAGCACCATCATCATCATCATTACAAGTCATCAAACGTACCAGATGCTTTTGGAGAAGGGGAAAAGAGGAGGATCTAAACGATCATGGATATTTTCATTCTTAATTCCGTTTGCCTGTGCCCGTTGCTGGTGTGGTGTGCCGTGATGGTGTCGATTTTTTTTTTCCTTGCCCGCTTTCCCCGAGCAATTCAAGTTGGCTGTACAAGGACAACATGAGGTGGCTTATGTCAGATCAATAATATGGATTGATTTAGTAGATAACTACGATGTTTATTTGATATGTTGATGTGTGTACATGATGGATAATTGCAAAAGATATGTATTGTATATATATAAATGTTAGAATGCTTTAGTATTATAGCGAATGCTGATTTAACGAACAAATCTTGGTTTGGGAGTCTCATCCAAACAGTCTCGACAATAGACCAAGCATAAACCAGTTTCCTTGTTCACTGTCATATGGGCATCCGAGTCCATTTGCTTCTTGCAGCCAGTGCAGCGCAAGCATTTCTTGTGCCATCGACTAGCATTGGGTCCAGGTTGAGTGTCTGAAAATGGCATGCTTTCATTGCAACGAGCACATGTACGCACACCACCCAAGCGAGGCAGCACCTTCTTTCTTGATTTGAAAATATCGCTGGGTGTGGTAATTGTAGAGTTTCTACGGGGAGCAGCTCCCTTGCTATTATCCGTATCTGTGTTGATTTTTAGGTCAGACTTGACAGCTCTCTTTGTAGTAGTGGCAGCAGACATTGGTTTGGTGGTAGTGGGTGTACAATGGTCACAGTAAAGCTTGTCTTGATGCTTGATGAGCTTGCGATCTGTGGGCACCGTCTTGTTGCATCCAGCACATAAGAGACACTATGAAATAAGCTTGATGAGTATACCAATTTTATACATGCAACGAAAAACAACATACCTCTTTATGGTAAAAGTTATTGGAGAGCTCCAAACATGTATTGGTCACTGGCTTGGAGCATGTGCTACACATGACCATGGTGGGCTCAGGAGCAATCACAACATCCTGCTTTTTCTGTAGCTCATTTGTAGTTGGGGCAGGAAACGATGTATCGGTAGGAGAAGAAGAGACAATGTCGAAATAGGCATTGTGAGGTGGTGGTGTGCGAGGATAGGCTTCGTCTTCTTCGCTGTGAGGCGTGCCTTGCCTGGATCCAACAGCAGAGACCGGAGAAGAAGACATGCTTGTTAAATCAGCAGCAGCACCAGCAGCAGCAGCAGTGGCCGATGGACATTCAATGTGATAAAAGTTCTTGCCATCTGTACAAAACTCCAAGCCATTGAATGTCTGATGACATTTGGCACAAAAGAGACAGTAAGTATGAAAACAGAGCACTTCCCCAGTGTGGATGCGAAGACCACGGTAATCCTTCTTGGAGACATGTTGGCCACACTCTTTGCATGGCTTCTTGACCACTCTTCTTCTACGAGGAGTGGATGCCGTGCTGGATGTCTTGGTGGGCTCAACAAAGGCAGCGGCTTGCGTGGACACAATGCTATCCATGCTAGCGTATGATGCAGTAGAGACAGAGGGAGATGTGGGACTCACACTACGGGATTTCATGGCTTCTTCAGCCAAAGCATTTGTAGAATTAAACATGGAGGATCTTCTGGTTCTCTGATATCTAAAATAGGGGTTCTCTGTGCTGGTGCTGGTGCTTGGAACTGTGTTAGTGACAGCAGAGGATCGAGAGGAGGAGGAAGCCAAGGAGGAGAGCACAGGCGTAGAGATACTGGGCGTGCCAGGTTTGGGTGACTGATTGACTTGCATTTGATCTTTGAGTTGGCATGTGCGACAAGATGGCTTGCCTTGTGAATCAATCGATGCCAGCATGGACTTCAATGGTGATTTGCAGTGGCTGCATTGAAAGCAGCAGCTGTGCCAGGTTTGATTATTGAACAGAGTTTGAATATCCGTGCGATCGACAGGCTTGCTACAGCCAGGACTTTGTTTATAAAAGCGTCAGTATCAAACACGACATGGGAACAAAAGATACACTTACCAAGCTAATTTCTCGGTCAAGCAGGGCTTGCAGTAGTAGGCCGAATTGTAGATGGAAAAGTTGTTGAGATCAGTCCATGAATTCTGCTTTCTCTGGCACTGGGCGCAGGATTTCATGTTGCTGTTATCTTTGGGTTGTTGCAAATCAAATTGAGGCATTGCTCTTTGTTGTCTGGTTCTGATGGGAGTGGAAGTGGATCCGAGACCAGCACCGCCGTTGAAGATGGCCTTTTTGCCATAGGTGTCTTGCCATTTGTCCGTGTTTGCTTGGCTCAGTCTTCTCTGGCTAGGAAACATGGCGGCTTTAGCTAGCAAGGAGGACGATGCCTCCGTTGTCTTCTTGTTGCTGGTCGTGGTAGTGGTAGAAGTGGACTGAATGGTTCTATAGCACTTGGGACAAGTGGAGGTGTTTGTGTATACGTTCTGGTTGCAGTAGGTACAAAAGCTCATGGTTGAAATAAGAGATGAAGAGGGCTCTTTGGGGAGGGGGGGGCAACATGGCAGCCATTATTTATGCTATTTCGTTTGTTATTGATTTATTACTATAATAGGCAATTTCCTTTTTGCTTTGATCTTTCTTTCTCTCTTTCTTTTACTCTAATTTTTTGTTTTATAAAGCAAGCATTTTGTTGTCGCTTTACTTGATTAGGATGGTTGTACAAATGTCATCATTCTGTTAGCCGTTGCTTTCAAGTGAATTTGGTAGGTATGTTGAGCTGATTTACACCATCATGTCATCATACGCACTCAGCTTTTTTTTATTAGCAAATGTTTACAGTGGCGTAAGTAGATCATGAAAGCTCACATGGCAGAGGCTAGACGACGAGTCTAATCTGACACAGTTGTACTACGCCTAGGGGTTCAAAGGATTCATTCTTCTGATTGCACATATTTCAGCCATTCCCCTATTCCACATTCTCATTTACATGATGCTATCAATCGCCACACGTACGATAGGACAAAGGGATCACTTGAAAGTGGATGGTCACGAGCATGTATACAAGGTATGTAGCATCAAATTGGTTTCAGACGGAAGTATAAAAGATGGCATAGTTGATCAGATGGAATAGTGTCATATCACAAGATGGGCAAAGCATTCTCAGTTCTCAACAGAATAAAGGGGCATCTAATTTATCATCAAGAGATCTCTCCAGCCTACCAGCCAGCCAGCCAGCCAACGAGCCAACATTGGATCAAAGCTAATCTCGTGTATTTCAGGGCCTGTGACGCGGCGCGTGCAAACATTCAATACTAAAGCGGGTGTTACAAAGGGTCAACACTCAACCAAATCTTTTGCAGTTGGGTATGTAGACAAAAAAAAAAAAAGGTCTTTCTTCTCTCTCTCTCTCTCTATATCCACTCCTGCCACTCATGTCGACTTTGGATTCGCTCATCATTCGATGTGCCAAGCAAATATACCACAATCTCAAATTAACCAGCCGTATTCAGATACTGAATAATGCAACACCAGCTACCACTTTACCTGAGGAAGTTGTTAAAATGCAGCAAATGATTGTAATTGCAGATAGAGCGACGTTGGAGAGAATCGTCAGGTCGTTCTTGCAGGACACAAGGCCAAACAAGACCATTCAGGACTTTATGGCTCTCATGAATCAAGAGCTACAAAGGCTTGGTAAGTTGACATTTTGACGTGTGTGTGTGTGTGTGTGTGTGTGTGTGTGTGTGTGTGTGTGTGTGTGTGTGTGTGTGTGCTCTCATGTGAATCACGCCTTGTATTTTAATATCATCCGCCTTCATTTGCTTAGTTGGTGAGGACGATGATTTTGATATTGAATTTGACGATGACTTTGACGACGACATTTACCTTGGCATGTGCAGTGAAGCAATGGACACTGTGCCTGACTGCAAAAAGAGAGCAAGATCGACTGATGACACTGCAGCATTACACAAACGACTTAAAATACCAACACCTGTTACTACACCAAAAGCCATCAGCTTGGAGCCAGAGTCCATTGATCTGACTGCCTCACCAAAAGCAATCAATGCGAAGCCTAAACTTATTGATATAACTGCAACAACATCAGGCCCTTCACGACATACCACGAAAAGCATGCCTACTGCACTGACAGCAGAGTCTTGCTTTACCAATGACACGGCCAGAGGTGATACACACAACATCATCTGCAACCCTCAGAGCACAGCAAAGCTCTTGAACGGCGTGCCTTGGGTGATTCTGTTTGAAATCGCTCGTTTTGTGCAAGCATTTCAAGTGGAATGGACCCAGATACCATTTGACGCCTTTCAATCGTTTCTCAATGTAGGTTACAATGAACCTGCGCAACTATACGACACCATGATCAAGTGGAATCAGGAGACGCGGTTGGGGATTAAGATCAACGGCTCTGCCTATACCGTCATGGACAGATGCCACGAGAATGTGTGGGTCTATTTCAAGCCGCTGCAAAAGTCCACCACAGCGTCAGCAACACCGTTGACACCACTTCCTTCTGCTTTGGATGCAAACTTTGAATTGCACACCAAGGATCAAAATGCTCGCATAAAGAACCGCATGGTTCACTACAGCGGGCTCATCACATGGAAGAAATCAGATCTGCCTCCCACCATCTCACTGCGAGCACCCAAAGTGGAGGCTTCCAACAGATTCTTTCGCAAATTTGGTCAAGACAGATTTCTAGAGCTCAAGCTAGGCAAGAACACACATGTCGCTATTCTCAAGCAACACAAAGCGTTCTTTCTGAAGCCGTTTCTGCTGATGCATCGAGTGTTTCGATTTCTGTTTGTCAAGGATGACACCGTCATTCTGTTTGCAACCGAAGGCGTGGATTTGGAGCCCATCAGTATTCAGCAGGTCATTGAGTGGCATATGCCTATAGCAGAGAATTGGGACATGTCCATGAGCAAATACGCGAGCCGCATGTCGCTTGGTTACAGTAGCAGTATTCCAACATTGGAGTTCAAGCCTGAGGAAATCATCTACATTGACGATGTCTATGGATTCACCGGCTCTAACAGCAATGAAAGCAACTGTATGACCGATGGCTGCGGCATCATTTCCTGTTCTGCTATGAAAAAAATCATGGGCTGTCAAGCAACAGATGAACTGCCTTGCGCTATTCAGGGCCGTATTGCAGGTGCCAAGGGTGTGTGGATCATTGAGCCTGATTTGGATTTTACGACGGGTGATTATATCAAGATTCGCAAAAGTCAGGACAAGTTCAAGACAGGCTTGCCACAGGGCGATCTTACGCTGGATCCTCATCACTACACATTTGATCTGGTCAAGAACTCAATTCTGGTTTATCCGTCCAACTTGAACACGCAGTTCATTCAATGCCTTTCTCATGGCGGCGTGGCTCATTCCGTCTTTATCATCATCCTCAAAGAGTACATTCATCAACTGGCAGCAATTGTTACGGAAAATCAGAGTGTCAAGCTGCTGAGAGATTGGGTAGCCAAGTGCGGAAAGATCATGATGGGTCGATGGGAGGCTGAGACAAGCAGTGAAAAGGGCCTCTGGAAGGATTTAGTCAATGGCGGCGCAGGTGGTATAGACGATGAAAACGACAGCGGATTCTTTACGCTGGACTCGCCTGACGATGTGCACTCGACAGAAGGCGACCCACACGATAGCTCAACAGGAGAGGAAAAGGGTCTTGGCAAACTGCAATTGGACAACAAGGAGAACCACTTTGCAAGACTCAACAAATACTCTGGCTTCCCTGCCAGTCTACACGAGTCCATTGTGCGATTGCTGGATGCCGGATTTGATTTGTCCAACGCATATGTAGCTACTCGAGTCACTATGGTGTTTCGTCAAATTATGCAAGCCATCACGACCAAATACAAGATTGAGGTGCCTCAGTCATGCACTGTCACTTGTGTTCCTGATCCAACAGGCACATTGGAACCTGGCGAGATTTTCCTGCAGCTGTCAAACAGACGAGTCGACGAGAAAACTGGTATTCGTGCTGGTCAGATACTCGGTGATGTGATCGTTACTCGTAATCCGTGTGCCCTAGCTAGCGACGTACAAAAAGTAAAAGCAGTGGACTGCACTGCACTGAGAATGTACTCTGATCTGGCCATCTTTTCCATCAAGGGAGAGACTTCATTGGCTAGTCAACTGAGTGGTGGTGATTATGATGGTGATATTGTAGGTTGCTGCAAAATAAGCATGTTGCACATGTATTGATTTCCCTCCAAACTAGGTATTCTGTTGCTGGGATGAACGTATCGTGGAGCCCTTCATGTCGAAGCCCGTACCTCCTCCATGCAAACGAGCGGAGGAAGCATTTGAAAAGGACAAGAGCACGGTGGGTAAGGAAGTGGGGTCTCATAAAGACACTGAAAAAGTCATTCAAAGCAACTTTCTCTCTGTTGCTATTCCTGATGGCACGCTGGGTGTTTATGAAAACTGGAGAACCGTGCTAGCTGAGAGTTCCTCTCTGGACCATCCTGATGTGGTGTACCTGGGTCACATGTGTTCCAAGCTGGTGGATGCTACTAAACAAGGCCTTAGTCTCAAAGCAACTGCAAAGAAGCGAGATCGAGCCAATTTCTCCGAGATTCCTCATCCACCCTGGTTCATGGACAAGAAAAACAAGCAGCGTGGATCTACGTTTCGAAGCTACAAAGAGGCCAACAATGTGTATACGCTGGAAGGTGCTCCCTGTACAACGACCATGGACTACTTGTACGATACACTGCTAAAAGAAACCACAGCATTCACCAAATACTCTCGCAGTATGTTTTGTGATGACGATGTCCCCTTGAAAGATTCTCATCTTATTGCGCCATGGCTCAAGGCCAACGAACTAGCCACGCAGCTCAACGATGAAGCACTTATGGCTGATTTGAAGCTGATAGCACAAGCCGTAGAGAACAACAAAAAAGAGTACAATGAACAATGCACAAAACTAGATTTGCAAAAGCAACGTTATCTGGAGAATATTTCGAATCCAGCGAGATACGTGGATGAAAAGTACATTGAAGAGTTCCAGAGTCAATTCAACAGCCATTTCGAACTGGAAGAGTACTTTGCAAAGGATTTCATGGAGAATCCACCTACACAGAGTCTGAAATCAAACATCATGACATTCGACGTGCAGGTCAATGGTGGAAGACAGCTGCAGAGTATCAAAGCAAGTTACGCATACAAGATATCCATCAGTGCCAACAAGTATGCCAAATACTGCTATTTGGTCGCATTTGATCATCTGAGACGTATCAAGGCAGATGCTGTGGCGAAACAATACAATGAAAATGGTATTGCAGAAAGTCTATCGACTTCGGCTTACAAGTGCATGACGATTGATCGAAAATGGATAAAGAAGATGAAGGAGTCAAATTACACTGAAAGTGCTGACCGAGTTAGATTGTCTACCGATTTTATAGCTAAAAAATAAACGTAGCAGTTTATAAATGATATACAATCAGTGGATAGGTTGGTGGTGTGTGTGTGTGTGTGTGTGTGTGTGTGTGTGTGTGTATTGGACAGGGAAGCACCCAAGGTATGTGGACAACAAGAAATAAGGGGAGGGGGGACATCCACCATTCAAATACGCATACGGGCCGCGTAATCACTGCACAAAGATAGGGAGGGATTTTTCATTTTCATTTTGTTTATAGGTAAGGCTCTTGCGAACCTTCAAAAAATTGCTACCGCGCTCCGAAAAGCACTGTAGACGGGTATTGGTTGTAGTTTTCAACCAGCAATAAACCAGAATCAGTATGAACCTCACTTTCGTGGTTTTGCCCGAGCACAAGAATGCGGAACAAGAGAGGGCCATGGGTAGATGTCCCTTTTATACTTTTTTTTTCGAGGTTTTCGTGTTGATCTACTGTCACAAAGGACTGTTGAAATGTGACCTTTGTCATACGGATAACACAGAGGTACAGAGACGGATACTGGGCCATCATGGCCATCTTTCACGGTGCTCGAGAGTATCATCGTTCCTTCATATAGCAAGGCATCTACACCTTGCATGGAAAGCTATCATTGGACCAACAAGAAGCAGGCGATGCTTGTATTTAATGGATTACACATTGGTCGCATGTGATTTCATTTGGAGTTTTATTCGATATCATAAACCAGCATCATCATTGCACAGAATGGCTGCTGCTGCTGCTGGTAGATTCCTTTCCATATTGCACAGACAGAGGACGGCCATGTATCACATAGCCATTTGTGCATTGCAGAGCCACTGAGGCTTCTGATTTATCCTTGAAACCTACAAATGCTTGACCTCGTAGTCTACCTTTTGTCATCAGATTGACATTGACATCTTTTGAAAAGTTCGAATACAAATCAATCAACTCTTGCTGTGTTGCTTGTTTATCGAGGTTTTTGATGTATAGTTTCGAGCTTGGTGTGCCTTCCTCGTAATTTTTGAATGCAGGTAGATCCAGCAATTCTGAGATGGGCTTACATTGTTTGCGTAATGCCTGTTGTTCGGCAGTGAGCCCAATGCTGATCTTGATCTTCTTGTTGGGCGCATGCGTTGTCGATGATGTTGATGGGAATGATTGTTTCCGTAGCGCTAATTTCTGTTTCTCAGCAGCCATGCGAAGTAATCTCGCTTGCTTGACTTTCTCTTCTGTTATGTCTTGGTCTTTTTCTTCTTGTTCATCATCCTCTAACTCTGACTCGTCACTGGCCAAGGACTGATCATGCTTTCGCTTCAAGAATGAAGGTATACCATCTTTTTCTGCAGGGCCAAATGGTGGCGGCATATTGTACTTGTTCATGAGATGCAGTACTTGGGTATAAAATCGAGGCACAGTGGCAATGGCATGTGTGATGTTGGTCAGAATGTCTGGAGTGGGATCTGGGTAGTAGTATCTAAGTTGTGGATTGGATGGATACATGAGACCGTGTGTAGCAGACACTGGTTCTGCAGCTTGCTCTTGCTGTCCTATTGTCATATTCAGGGGCAGCATAGAGGTGTGCTGTCTATTTGGATCTGGCTTCGCGTATTCTACAGTTACTTGCTTGTAATGCAATCCAAAATTGATCTTTGCTAGCAACTCAAATGCTTTCTCGGCCAGGCTTCGGTTGGGAAAGTCTAGAAACACAAAGCCAATCTTGAATGCATGTCAGAAGGTACGCTTGATTGAGTGAATCGGCGTGGGTTTACCATAGCTTGACTTTGCATAAATCGAACGTCAATTGGGTTGTAAGGTTTGAAGTATCTTTCTCGCAACTCGGGTGATGTGGTGATGAAATCAGGCAGATGCTTGACAATGAGCGTTGTGATGGTACCCTATACAAGATCGTTAGCGTCTACTGAAGCATCACTATACAACAGCACACTACATTGTTCATTCTGCCTATGTTTAAACGAGCAAGAAAGAGAGAAAGAGATATGTTCCAATAGTCACAGTGCATGCGAGATATAAAAAGATTTTCAATGGTTGATCAATGCTTTTTCTCTTCCATTGTGTATTATTCTATTTATTTGCCTTATTTATAAAATGAAATTGAACGAAGATACAGTGCTTGCAAGTATACGGCTCGAGAAAAACAAGCGTGAAATGTTGACATGTCAATTTAGAGTGGCGAGAAGGTGGCTCTTGTGCCTTACAGACCAGAACATGTACCCAAGTATCACGAATGGATGAAGTCACCTTTCCTTCAAGAAATGACCGCGTCTGAACCATTAACATTGGAGGAAGAATACGAGATGCAGGAATCATGGCATCAAGACGAAGAGAGTCAGTATGATTTGCCTCGAATACAACATTTGGGGGGGGGGGCTAACCTTCCTTTTAGAGCTGACATTCATCATCACTAGCCTACCGAATGATGACAGCAGGTCATTAAAAGATATACCAGAAACAGAAATCAAAGATAACACAGGTATGGATACGGTGCGCTTGATGAGCTTTTAGCATGTGATTGAGTCTAATTCCTTTTAGTCATGATTGGAGATGTAAATATCTTTTTCAATGACCAAGACCAGGATCCAACATTTGGCGAGATTGAGGTCATGATTGCTGAGCCAGACTACAGAAGAACCGGTCGAGGAAGAGAAGCATTAAAGATCATTATGGGCTATGGTAGATACTATGACAGATGGATGATGATTTCATACACTATTAACACGCTCTACAGCATTGCAAGTGATAGGACTCAAGACATTCCATGCCAAGATCTCTTTAAAGAACGATCCCAGCATTAATTTATTCAAATCAAAGTTTGGTTACTATGAGATTGCAGTGTCCACCGTTTTTCAAGAAATTACATTAGAATGGACACTTTTGGGTTCTTCATCCACAGTCAAAGTAGACGAGTATGGCAACGAGATAGAGGCTTATGGATCAAAAGCAACGCCAGAACAACACAGCACGGTGTTGTCTGTGCACAAGGACTTGATAGATTACTGGAACAACAATGTCAAGACGGGCCATTATGCTTAAAAGAAGCAAATCCAATAAACATCTTTATTTTACCAATAGCCATGTTCCAAGAATTGTGGTTCTTGTTGCTCATGGCTACTGTAGCCAGGAATCTCCATTTGACTCAACCACCATTCAGGCGACACATGTATTTTGTCAAAGGATATCACAGCGGGAGCTTCATCCTGCAGCGATAAACTATCCAGTTTGTTCTTGTGTTGATCGTAATCTGACTTGAACTGATCGACTAGTGCTGACATGTCTTGTATATGTGTAGTGAGGTTGTACTGAACTCTGAACCCTGTTCCCATGACAGCTATGCCATATTTCTCTTGGTCGGATGACAGGAGATGCCTATCGTTCATGATAGCTGCGCCTGCTTGATTTACATGCTGTAATCTTCGATTGGTGGAGATCTGCGCAAAGTAAGCTACAATGTCCACGTTGGTCTTGATTTTATCAAACAGTACAATGGACCTTTGACTACGAGTGGCAGACTGAATGGCATCGAGACCTTCGTCGTCTATCGGTAGCAGGTTGAACTCTAGTGTGAGTGTTGACGGATTGATCTGAGAGTATTCGCTCAATAAGAGCAGTTCAGTTGCAAATGGAAATGATGGATTGGCTAGATAAGACGGATATGATTTAGCTAAAATGTCAATCTAAATGCATGTGCATTGTTAGTATCCGTATATTTTATCAATGTCGATACCTACATGAATTCTCCAGCCATCGGATTTAACATTTCGACTGATTCTTTCACTGATGACAGTCGATAATCGATAGGAATACCAGCTATTCAACCTTGCCATTGTGATGACATCGCCTGTATCCAAATGATCCATGATGCTGTAGAGTATTTCAATAGGTAGCTTTGATAGTGTGTACATTTTTATTCCAAAGAAAGAGGGAGATAAGGGAAAGAAGAAAAAATAATTTTCCACTGCCTTTTATACGTTATTTTTCAAACACCTGATTCATGCAAAAATGAGAGTGCACTGATTTCATAGGGCGATATCAACAGAAAATACGATGAGCGCATGGTGAACACTAAAATGGGGGTATTGGATGGTTTACATGTGAAATGTATGAAAATTTGCATTTATTATATATATACATATATATATATACATGCACGGACGAATTACTACGAATTTCTTGGCTCTGAAGATGGAGGAGGATGGTGCTGGTGTTGCTGCTGCGTTTGTTGCTGTTGATACAGAGGCAATATACTACCAGCGGAACTCGCATGGTGATGATGAGACGTAGTGGGTGTAGGCGGCTGTTGCATGGCATGAGGGTGATGTTGATGGTGATGGTGACGGTGGTGTGGTGCTTGTTGAGGTGGTGATTGACGCATAAAGAGGCCCTGCTGCTGCTGTGGCTGCTGTGGATGATACGGTTGTTGCTGTTCTACAGACGGTAAAATCGATCGCGACATCATCGAAGTAGTACCAGTATTTGGTGATATCCCTAATTGGGACTTATTACCTGATGGAGACATGGAATACATGCCTTGATTGCTGCCATTACCAGCGTTAGGTGCATTGGGCGTAGAAGGCTGCTGAGGGGCTTGGTGTTGCTGAACGTTGGGTGGTGTAATGGACCCACCTCTGTGTGATTGCTGCTGCTGTTGTTGCTGGTGATGCGATGACATTGGGTTTGAGTGCAATGCTGGGTGAATCGTAGGCTCATTGCTGCTATTATTATTGTTGTTGGCACTGCTGTTACTGGAATCTGCACTGTTTCGGCCTATGGGCGAGTGCTGTTGAGGGTCAAATGTAAACGACATGTCAGGCGCATTGAATCCCGGTGTGCTGGGTGAGTTTGCTGCCATGGCATAATTACTCTGAAAGGATGGATTCACATAGCCGGTCAAAGAAGTATCCAATCCCATGTTGCTCTCGTACGAATACACAAACGTGGTCGCTGGCTGCTGCAACTGAGGCTGGTGTCTGGACGAATTCATGGAAGAAGGTGGTCTCTGGCTATTCGTAGGATAGGGCGATGAAGAGTGACCCATAAGCGGCAAACTATCGTGCTGCATCGTTGTGTCAGGAGGCAGTCGATTGTCATCGTTGTACGTCAATTGCCTTCCCTTGCCCTTTCTCGCTTGCTTTCGAAGTGGCTCTCCAGCAGATTGGTCTTCTGAGAGCGTCCGAGTTCTATGTTGCGTCTTTATTAATTGCGTCTCGTGAAGCTGGCGTTGGTTGTGTATCTTGATGTAATAGATTTGCTTTGGAATCTCCACAGCAATGTAGCCTTTGGGCGCATTGTCGCCTTTGCCTGCTGTCATCGTGGTAGTGGTGCTTGATCTGGAGGAGGATCGTCTGACTTCAGGCCGTTCGTAAGCATGGCTGTAGGATGGATCCATGGCGGATGATTCGCTGGCTGCGTCGTTGTCGTTATCGTCTCTAAAGATATAAGGCGCAGGAAATGTCTGTGAGTCGATCTGAACAGTTTCGCATATAGATTGAAACAGCATGACCAGCTCCTGCTTGACAAATTGAAAGAGGTCGTCGTTTCCAGCAGTTGCCATGCACACTTTGCTCCAAAGGTCGCTCAATTGATGCGTTCTGTCGATGGAATCTCGCAGCTTGATCTTTTGACGCTCTTCAGAGAGACGATTGTAAAACCGGCGCTCGTTCCAATGTATATTAGGAAATTGATCTCGCACACGTCCTCGAATGTCTTGAGTTGTCATACGTAAACGAGCCAATTCGCAAATGAGATCGGTCACTTCTTTGGGCCACGAGCGTTCAATATCCTCAGGACGCATCAATTCATGATTGTGTTTTCCAGCTTCAGGATTGAGCGACTTTCTAAACTCCCATTTGCTTGACTCATTTTCATACAAGACGACTCTCCATCGGCAGTCGCATCGCTTGGAAGGCCTCTTTCGTTGTGGATTTGATTTCGGGTTACGCAGAGAATCAGGCAAACCTTCTCGAGAACAATAGACATAAATATTCTACAATAATGTGTGAGCACCATCATTTGAAATGCAACATGTAAATTGCAACTCTACTCGATGTGTACTAGCTTCTTGTTTCACAGTGAAGCCATATTCAGCACATAAATCTCTGCATCGTTCAATAGCAGTGGCACTTTGGTCAAAATTCATTCCAATCAGTCTCTCATAAAAGGGCTCCAACTGCGGTAGTAGCATGTCAATGACGCCTATTCAATTACATGAGAGCAAGCTTACCAAAAGAGCTTGTTCGTTCTGCTGTTGTGGAGTTAGATTTCCTCCGTGTGGTGCTGTGGAGGCTGCAGCAGACTGTAGCGACTTTTTGGTCATTTGATAACTTTAATCTATAGGGAATTGCGTGAATACAAGAGAGTTGATTGTGTAAGATGTAGCATCGACTTACCCTTTGGATAAATAACAGTGGGAAAAAATGAAAGAAAAAGAAAGAGAGAAAGAGAGAGAGAGAGTGAGAGAGAGAGAGTGATTGATCTAATATTAAATATTTCTGTCCCTGGGTCTTTTTTTTTTTTTCTACTTGGCTGGTTTGTTACTGGCGATGTTTGATAGCTGATTACCGTTATTGTCTACTCCACACTTTGTGCTTGTATAGTGTGTGTTGTAGATTGGCAGCAGCAGGTGGAATTCTACAGAGATAAAACAAAAGGGAAAAAAGAAGCCTCTGCTCTTCTTGACTCCTTCTTTTTAATGCGCTTATTATATTTCTTTTTTTTTTTCTTGTGATGCCTAGTTTTATGTATCTTTTGATTGCCTTTTGACAAAATTTATGAAACATTACCAATAGTAAGCGATTGCAATAGATCTCAATTTTGTGCGACCACTTTCACTTCAACTCTAAACTAACCCCCTGTTCCGACCTGATGGAAAGAAAACAGTGGTTGAATTGCACGGGAATCCATTGTCATTGGCAGTGTTCCTGCTTGAGATCAAATCGATTTATTTACTCGATCAATGGCTGCTGTAATGGGATGCAAGGATTTCGTAGAATAGGATTTAAAATCTTGGCTTTCATCTAGTTCGTATAGCAAGTGTCATTTTTTTTCCACCATTGGTTTGAGATATTGCAGTTTGACGAGTGAGCTACCATCTCATTTATTTTGCTCAGGTGCGTGGAAACGCAAGATACACATAAGATTGCTAATGGCATTAATCACTCGAAATGGTCTAGCAAAGCACAGGGCATGTTTGCTTGGTTAACAATGGAAAACATTGATTATCAAATGTGAGCACTGGACCCTGAATATCTCTTCTCCAGGCTGATAAGCAACTTATATCCGAGACACCAGGTCCTGATGGGTGATTAGACGGTTATTTTATAAAAACAACAATTGGATGTCCCTGCTTTACATGCTGATGATTACATTGTCTATCCTCTCAGAGAGAGAGAGAGAGAGAGAGCTATGAAAGGTCGAAAGTTTGTATTCTGTATGAAACAGCATCTGTTACTATTCATATCAAGATCTTATTGTAATGAAATGATGGAATGCCATGTGCGCACGTTGCATCAGTGGCATTGGCCTTCTTTTGCTTCCCAAGCCATCATCTCCGCTGCAAAATTTTCATCCTTCTACACGCCTTAACGATTCGCATTTCCTTCTCTTCCCTTGTTCAGCTCCTATTGACTATATCCATGATTGATCCACCCTCAGACAACCCGCTCTATTCCTTGCTAGGGTTATCTCCTTCTTCCCCTGAAATCAAACAACTGTTGTCCACTGATTTGGAACCTACAATCACAAAGCTATCCAATTACATATATCACGCATACAAACCATTAGGTATCTCATTGTGCTTTATTCCAAAGGTCGATGACTTTGTATTAGATGCCATTGACATTTACAATGGCACAACCAGAGATGGATTCTCGCCGTATACTTTGAACAACTTGCCCTGTCAATTGCACAGTACTAGCCAAGCGTATGAAATTGTCTCTCATTTAGGCGAACCAGACCGTAAAGGTGGGGGAGGTCAGAGCAGGTTGCCTTGCTGGATTGAATACAAGTTCTCAGAGAACTCAGGCATCCTGATTCAATTGCATGGATTTGAATGGGAGGACCGAGAAATGGGTTGGACAAGCTTTGTGTTATTTTGATCCCCAAGTGCTAGCGTGTATATCCCTCGATTCTATTAAAATGAAATAAAAAGCATTCTATTATAATATCTCGATTTACCCAATTTACAGATACCAATAAATGAGTTATTAATATCGTTATCAAACTTGCAGGATTTTTGTCAGTTTGTAACACATGAACATTTTTAGCTGTGCCCGGAAGAGATGCAAAAAAAACAAGCTTCCGTGGACGCCATCTTCACAAAATCCACATTTGATACATGTGGGTATAGCTTTAATATGCTTCGGTCTGTCCATCAGCTTGTTTCAATAATTGATTAGGCTTCTATACATGATAGGTTCTTTGTTGAAATATTGCGTTCAAGGGGCGTTAGGTACTAAACGTCTGATCTGACGAAAGTCTAATGAGGACCTCAATTCTGTATCCTGAAATTTCATTATCAATGGATTGAGCATTAATTAATTGTGCAGCTTCATTCATAAAGGGTAGCAATATTTATCGCACTTTGATAAAGTGGCTCAAGCCAAACGACTTTATTTCGTGAATATCTATTACGTATAGCGTCATTATTGTAGATATCATCCAAGGAGCACACTCGCAGTGATATTTCTACATTTCTCATTTGTATCCACATTTAGCCAAGCAAATTGGAAAAATTAAACTCATTACTTAGAACGATGTGCTTCAAAGGTATAAGGCAATAGACAGGCTAAGCTACGATGCCTTTCAATTCGCAATCCCTTTCGTATTAGTGCCACAAACATTGATTTTCTTCATGGGACAAGCATCGTAGGCAGCCAGCCGAAAGCAATTGAACCCCAGTTGCATCGTCTACTCAAGATTGGCCAGATTTGATAAAATTCGACTCAATCTTAGACACTTTGCACAGTTTCAACCTTACTTCGAGCCAGTCTGTAGCCCAGCTCCTTTAGAGGATTCAGTCGTCTCATTTACTCCTTTGATTGAGCAGTTTCGTCTCCTTGATGATCAACCTCTTGGTAATGTTCAGGCCTCGGCTAAGGCATTTCGTCGGGCTGTCCTTTCGTCTGTGGTCTCTCCTTTGGCATTGCGCAAAATCTCTGCGTCCAGCTGGAAATTTTTTTGGTCCCTGTCTCTTACCACTGTCCAACGTAATGTGATATACCGTCTCATTCTGGGTCGAATTCCTCACCGTCGATTTTTGCATTTTATTATGCCCAAAGTCTTTGTGTCTCCTCTCTGTCCAGTTTGTTTGTCTATGAACGATTCCCCAAGTCACCTCCTCTTTCATTGTCCTTCTAAAGAGAAAGTTTGGCAGGGAGTCATCTTCGAGTTTCTGTGGCCTACCACCTCGATTCTAGATATTAAAGAGGCTCTTCTGCAACTTGATTTCTCCAACGTTTGGTATTGCCAAATTGCTGGAATCAAGCCTTTCCGAATCCTCATCATCACCCTTGGTCAACTGTGGCTTGCCCACATGAGGTTCATCTATGACAATGTTCCTATGGACCATACAGCGATATTGGCCAGTATTCGAACCAGTGTTCGTCAGACCATTGCGGAAGATCAGTGCCATTCCCTCCTGTAATCCAAAGCCAATTATTAGATAGTTTTTTTTTATATAGTTTAGTTTAGTATATTATTCTTCATATGTTAGCTTATAGTTATCCAATTCTTTATCTAAATTGCACTCGCCTCTTCACTCTGACCTATTACTCTCAGTGTACGCGAATCAATCAATAAACAAAATTTTTAAAAAAAAATAGACACTTTGCAGGATTCGACTATATAAACCGTACAAATTCTTCTATACTCCTTAAGCTTTCTTGGAGTACTTTTCAAGGCGCATCCAATGGTATAATTTCAACAGGTGTTTTGAACAAACTCAGTGAGCAATTTTTGAAAATATCAAATGTGGTTTAGGGACAAAATGTCGACATTTTGCATACGAAGATGTCACAGAAGTGATTTCAGAGGTTGCTTTGGATCGATAGAAACATTTTGATTCAAGATATACCATAGTAAAAGTCTTCATTTTCAAGGTCAAAAATGCGATCGTTTGATTTTTGAAGGAAACCATGAGGGGCACCTCATGCTTTTTGGTCGATTTTTGTTCATGTTTTTTTGATCCCCAAAAAGTTGAGCAAAGGTGTCAGAAAGTAACTGCCAGATGAGAGCAAGTGTTTAGTCCTATTATGACAATCTAAAACGGCCTTGGACGCGAGAAAAAGCAGCTCAAATACACTCATATTTTGCTGTATTAGGGTCACTGAGGACTAAGAAATGGAAATACCTGTATTCTACTTGACGGTATATGAAGTAGCTAGGTGTATATGGATGTAGAGCATCAGATAAGAGTCAGATCCACAGATATTATAAAGGGTTTTTATGTGTAAGTAGAGGGTCAGCTTGAACGTAGTAGTATTATGATAAGATACACAAGGGCAACCGGTAGCTCGAGCTGTCGCTGTGCAGGTTGGTTCTTTACCTTCGCTACGCTTCGGTGAGAACCATACGAAGCATAAACACATATGATTAGTGATTATATATCAATCAACAATCAGGGTTCTTCTTCTAACATCTTAGCTATATTAATTTTGGGATATTAGCCAAAGGCCCGCGGCAGCGCGAGCCGTTTGAACGTAGGTTGGCTTCCACCGAAGCGAAGCGTAGCTCAGGAAACCACCCGAAGTGCTGAAAGGCTCGTATGCCATAATAAATGTTTTCATTTCCGAGGTTATAAACGCGATCGTTTGATTTTTGATGAAAACCACGAGGTATCCTTCATAGTTTTTGGTCGTTTTTTGGTCGTTTTTTTGACGATCCCAAAACAGTTGGACAAAAGTGTTAGAAAGTAACTACCAGGCGAGAGTAACTGTTTGGTGCTAATCTGGCGGTTTAAAATGGCTTCCAACACGTAAAATCACGGCTTAAATGTGTCCAAATTTGCTGTCTTTTGCTCATATCTGGTTATTTTGGGGGGGGCAATGCAAGCGCGCCATTCGTCCGTATACGGAATGTTTCAATAGATACAAACGAAGGGAATTGCAGAAGAGCTAAATCTACACCTACAAATCGTTTATGGATAGTTCTCATTAATAGCGAGAGATAAAACAGTGAACTCTTACTATAAACTGTTAGGATATGTTGTCAATACGGACTGCCTGAACATGTTTGGGGAGTTTAGACCGCCTGGTCTTCATTCTATCCACATCATATTTTTTTTTTCCAGGGCAGCCATCAACGTAAACGGGCTACTGTTGTATTTGCTCATCAAATCGGCAATCACTCAACCGCTCAAGAACTGGTGTATATAAAAGTACGTTAATGTGTTTGGTTTTGCTGGGCTCGTATCATGTTGGGTTGCTTCTCTCTTTGTATCTATTCAGATACGTGTCAATATACTACGTCTATCACGTCTATATTTATCTTAATGGCCCATTTTTGACCGTCGAAATGGAAAACATCTGAAATCTCAGTAATCACGCTTTATCTATTAGCAAAGTATTTAATCTTTTTTCATATAGATTAACTAGCCGATCTATCTCGCTACGCTAGATATTGGTGTCGCTCTGCGGGCTCTCACCAAAGACATTTCAAATCAATAATAATAAAAACCTGGTATAAAAGTACATTTTAAACAATGACTATATTAGGGATGAACCTTGATTTAGAAAACAGAACTTTGGAGGTACAGATCAATATTTTTCATGCAGCATTTACGTGTTATTATTATAAGACTTCTGGTTCACACATCCTCCGTCCGAGTCGCATTTTCTGGCGGCAGAACGGTGATATCATTCGCGGATGCTGCTCTTAAGGTGGCGACACAGAGCTGGCCATGCGTAAACACAGGGCTTTTATGAGAACTACAGCGACGTTTTTGAGAAATTGTCATTGCAAAAGACATTTATATAGGGGAAAACTCCTAATAAAACCAAATAATAAAGAATTCATGCTAATTGATTGTTCTTTCAATTACATAATCCCCATTTAATCAGCATCGCAATCACCATTGTCATCAAAAGAAAGGCATTTAGGTCAGCCAGCAGCATGCTGTAGCCAAAATTGATTCAAACTCAGATTTTTTTTTTGTTTAAGATTGGACAGATATTGTCTCTTTTCGACTTCTTTAATCTATTCAATGATATTTGACTACATAAACTGTGATAATTACCCTACGCTTCCTAATACATTCTTGGAGTACTTTTCAAGGCGCTTCTAATGATGCCAAGTAAAATGGATGTTTTGACTGAACTTACTGAATAATTCCAAAAAATACGAAATAAGGTTTTTGGCCAAAATGTCAAAATTTTGCATATAAAGACCTCATAAAAGTGGTTTCAGAAGTTGCTTCGGATCGAGAGAAACATTTTGGTTTGATATATACCATAGTAAAAGTCTTCATATTCAAGGTGAAAAATGCGATTGTTTGATTTTTGATGAAAACCATGAGGTACCCTTCATGGTTTTTGGTCGATTTTTGGCCATGTTTTTTGGGTCTTCAAAAAGTTGAGCAAAGGGGCCAGTAAGTTACTACTACTCAAGTACAATTGTTTGACGTTATTCTGGCGGCTCAGAAAGGTCTACATGTCAAGATACGAAGGCTTGAAAACCATCCAATTTGGTTGTGTTTTGCTTTATAATAGCTTTTATTTACACAGCATGAATCACATCTTTGGTAACTGCAATTTACTGGAAGGGTAGTTCCATAGCCTGTGCAATTTTTAATTTGAATAGGAGGCATATTGATTTTGGTAAAGCTATTTCATGCAAATTTTGATGCGTTATGTTGCTGGTAAGCCTATTAACAATGGAAATGAAAACCCGAATTTGCTGCTTGAATACTATGGTTTTGCACCTTCGCTTCTCTACGGTAAAGCCCTTATTGAGATTAATATTACCAAATGTTGGGTTAGATGCTTACTTGCCATGGTTTTTCACCTTCACTTCGCTAAGGTAAAACCGCCTCATAGGGCAATGTTACCAAATGTTGAATTAGATGCGTTATGTTCTTAGTGGATGGGCTTGGCACCTCCCCCAAACCCCCTCCCCAATGCTGGCTTTGCCGGTGGTTTATTCACCTTGTACAGTAATCAATTTTTTAAATTTTTGAAAGAATATGATTTGTTTGTCTACTTTTTTTTGAATGTTTTACAGTATATTTATTAGAAGATGGCCTGAGGAGCAAGATCTGATAAGAGAAAGTGCGTACAACCCATTTTAGGTGTACAACGTATTGGTTACTCAAGTATGTATACAAGGTTTGGTTGATATGAAATCGACAGATAGGTGCGACTTTCTTAACCTGTGCTCTTATATTGTCCACAACTGGAGTATCTAAATACCAGTATGGAGAGGCATAGATATGAATATTTGATATAGCCCTAGTAACTATGCAAGATCGAACAGACATTTGGGTTGTGCTGAAGTTCATTTAATTACGGACGGCGCCGACTGAGGCCTTTACATCAGATCAAATTGATGATTGATTTGAAAACAGATAATGGTAAAACAAGCTGCAAGATTGTCGCCGCATCTTGGAGAATTAGCATCGTATAAGGCAATATACTAATAAATTAACTGTCTTTTTAATCGATGGCTTTTATGGATCTGCTCATCCAAAGCATCGGCTTTTTTTTTAGAGATATGCCATATATACCGATGATTTCCGATAGTACAGTATATTTCATTGATTCATCTAAGTTAAGTTGTGCTGATTTGTAAGAATCATGTACCTGACTGACCTTCTTTTTATATGTATGATTTGCTTGATTTGCGGTTGATATCCCACCCTCCCCAAATCTATCAGATTCAATACTATTGGAAATCTCGCAAGTTGACCCTATTCATCTTCGTAATACTCAATGCTATCTACGATCAATCCCGTTTGTCAAGGTTACATTAACCATCAATGTCCGACTTGTTATAGTTTACAGCAGTAAGACCTGAATGTCATGCTGTCTAACCTCAAGCTGGGATAAGATACTCGAGATGACAGGCTGATCTCGCTGGTCTAATTGGAAATACTTGTTATGGCGATCCAAAACTACAGTGTAATGAGCTTGATTTATGAAAAAGACTCGTAGCGGAGGTCATATCGATGGAAAAACGACGAGCCGTGCGTATTTATGTCACTGAATAATAGATCAAAGAGAATTGTTCTTTATGAAAAAGAATTTCGATATTACTACATGCTTAGGCAATGCAGTTTTTGTCCAATCTTGCTTTATATGTTGGATGTGCGCACATTCAGCATAATCTCTGTGATTAAACATGATAAGTAGCACAAATGTCATTGCATGAATCTCAAAACATTTGATGGTGGAAGACATAGGTAATGATAAAGACACAATTCATTCAAGAAAACCAGCAAGGCAATGAGCTAGACCCTGAAGAGATGAGGGAATAGGGTCCAAGGGTTCATTCTAGAGTCGGAAAAACGTTGTCATTCAGTGAAATCCTTCGAATGGAAACATTCCAATTACAAGTAATCAGTTTGTGCGCTTGAATTACCTTGTCTTCCCCATTTTCTCCCTTGATTTTCCCTGCAAGTAAAATGAACTGACATTACTAAAGAAATAAGGTTCAATGTGGTATAGCATTGCCGAGGGATCATTACTTTATTCATCAAGGAAGAACAGAGTTCTGTAATACATGTGAGAACTTTAAAATCTTCAACATCACACAGAAAAGGCAGTGGGTAAAAGAAATCAAGGGTCAATGGTCAACATTACATAAACAGGAACAGGATGGAAAATCGGTTGAATTTGCATAACCATATACATAACCTGATGTTTTCTACGTTCATAAGTTGAGCTGTTTCGAATGTAAGTTCTACATGTCCCATTGGTCGACTCCCGTGGGGGTGCTAGATGTCTTCTATAGGACAGCACCACACCGCTTCAGAACTGGCTTTCAATGAAGACATCCAGCACTTGCCACCAACGGCCAGCCTTTTCTCATCAGTGAAATAAATTATCCATATAGCACAAACTCAATGGTTAAGCTCATGTTTGACAAACAAATATAGAGATCAGCAGTATTGGGTTTTGTTGCCATACAGAGTAACTCATCCGAACCGATATCGGTGCCATGGCCATCATTTTACGTTCTTGATCCGAAACAAATGAGGCAATCAATATTTTGGGATGCCATGAAATGTCTCGCTTCTTGTTTGACGCTGCATTGAACCTACAAATGTTCAGCATTTCACTATACTATTTTCCTGTGAGAATTGCATTACACAATCCAATTCCCACGCGGCCTCACAGTATCAAATATATTTCCAGCAATTTGAATAGTATAACCTTCTTGCCTGGTGTTTACGGATGATTCAAATGGCCGGGAGGTAGTCTATATTAGGCAGGAGAACCGTGTAAAACCTATGAAAAAAAAGTTTTCATTTGGATTTTGTATGGGCTCCGGTTAAAGCCAATCATACCACTATATTTGCAAACAAAATACGCGATGCCAATAAGAACCGTAGTAAATAGATGCTCAGAGTGATGGTTTGTATGTGTTTGTGTGTACATGTGCGTACAAGGTCATCGACGGCAAGACATTTAATGGATAAATAAAGGCAATTTGTATATTTTCATCCTGCTTGGTGCATGGGAAAAAAAAAGCTTCGTGCCCTGTTTTGTTTCTAGTTTCTGCTTTATTTATGATCCTTTAAAGGAGAATTATATTCAGAACACGTATCTGTCATAATACATCAGAACAGGCGTGTCGTATCATCATTAAATATTCTCTTTTTCGAACAAAAATGTTAGTTGTTATTGCAGGTATTACCTAACTAAATCAAGGCAAACCTTGCTCATTTCTCTGTCGTGTCCATTGCACCCCCCCCCCCACCCCCAATTTTTGCCGGATTTCTAATCATCATCAAAGAGGAGATGCTGTTGGTCATGAAAAAAAAAAAAAAAGCTATATAAAGAGATGCTTCCAAATCCCAATAAGATTTTCCGTCTTTATATACTCTACTCTACTCATATACAAATAAGAAATGTCAGCTGAAGCAGCAGCAGTTAACAACAACAATCAAAATATCCATCTTGATGACAGCAGAAGTGATCTGGAAGCAAAGTTCAATAATGCTTCTCACTATCAACAGCAACAACCCATCCCTATTTATGCTGCCCCTACTATTGCTAATCCTGGTCCTTTGGGTTTGAGTTCATTTGCTTTGACCACTTTTGTCTTATCCCTTCATAATGCTGGTGCTGGCGTGCCTGCTGATGGACCTAACAATGTGGTTGTCGGTCTTGGCATCTTCTATGGTGGACTTATTCAATTGTTGGCCGGTATGTGGGAGTTCCGTACTGGCAATACTTTTGGTGCCACTGCTTTCTCTAGTTATGGCGGCTTCTGGTTGTCGTTTGCTAGTATCTTCATCCCTGGCTTCAACATTTTGGGATCTTATCCTGAGACTGCCGTATTGAAGCAATCATTAGGTATCTACCTCTTATCCTGGGCTATTTTCACTGGTATCATGTTGATCGCATCTCACCGCTCAAGTGTGGGTCTTGTCAGCATGTTCTTCTGTCTCTTCATCACCTTTGTCTTGTTGTCAGCTGCCGAGTTCAACCATAGTCTGACCACCCAAGTTGCTGGTGGTGCATTTGGTGTTGTCACAGCTGTCATTGCATGGTATAATGCCTTGTCAGGTCTCTTGACCAAGGATTCATCCTTCTTCCTTTTACCTACTGGCCGTCTCAATTAGACAAATCATGATTACCCATTTTCAATTCACCACCACCTTTCAAACAGATCCGCCTTGTAATACTAGCAACATACATCCATATATCCCCCTCCCCCTCTTCTCTCTGTTTCTCTAATCCTCTTTCCTTTCTATTCTATTTAAATTTTTTATTATTACACTGAAACAACTTATTAATACAATACCAGTTCTAACATGTCTTACACATCAACGTTTCTGATCTTTTAATGCTGTCTTCATCCGCGGGATCCCATAAAATGGTGGGCGAGACTAAAAAGTTGGTGCCTGTGCATTGAGACGTTTTGTGAATAATCGCTTGATAAGTGCGTATACAAGATGTATAGTGTGGGGGGGGGGGCTATCTCAAGTGATACCAGTTGCTCTTTTCCCGTCCAGCGTCATACAAGAAACCTTGTTTCTGGAAAAGCATTTGTTTATGTAATATAGAAAACGTTCTGAATCATTTCGTGGGAACTGCAGCCTTTGAATAATTGTTTCAAAAACGGATAAATTGCTTATAGAGAGGTTTTTGTGTATTGGAATGGCATACACAAAAGACTTGTGTTTTCTGCTACATATATGACAGGCCATAGATCCTGTTTAATGGATCCAATGTGGAGCGGAAACTATCCCCTTTTGACATTTCGTTAAAGTTTGATACTCTATCGCAATGGATATAAGCTCCCCGGATTAAATTAGTCTTGGGATACAATGAATAGACTTAAATTATCTTCCTTACTACACCATCAATACCCCCCCCCCCATTATTTTTATTGAATGTTGCCAGGCAAATAACAGGTAGATCCAAGCCATTCCCAGGCCCCGTTTGCGTAACATTACTTGCCATAAATATTTGAAAAACATGGGGAAATCAATGGCGAACTAGATGGTTTATCCTTTGATTTGAATAGCGATTTCATGGTGTGGGAATTCCTATTAAAATTCTAGTATTCATCATTGTTGCAAATCATGGCATTTCGTCATTATTTACCCCACACTCTTTCTCATCAAATCAGCAAAATGTACAAGAAAAGAAGCTCCAGAAACCAACTACAACTAAAACAAGGATTTTATTTGATTTCAATCTTCTTCATTAGCAAAGCAAGATTCCATGATGAAATCAACGAAATCTTCGTCTAATACATCATTATCGTCAGCCAAATTGCTGAACAGAGCACCATGACCACCCCGTCTGATCCAGGCTTCTATGATTTTGATGGCATCTTCCTTTTTATCAGGGACCTCTGCCCACTCCTCAAGGGCCCATTCTGTCATTGCCCAGCCCAAGTAGCCACTGGTCAAGGCATCTCTATCAACTTGCACAGCGTTTCGATAGTAAACCTTTGCATTATCGAGCAGCTGTCGTTGGTTGCGTTTAGCAACTGGCAAATCCAACGCAGCACGAGTAATACTCAAATCGCCCATCTTGTTTAGAATATGTGTGTTTTTGGGCTCCAATGCCATAGCTTCTTGAAATGATTTCATGGCATTAGCGTATAGCTTCCATACTTCTTTACCATCTGTATCAGGATTCAGTGCCGTCTTCTTCTTATCAGCGACTTCACGAATAGCTTGTCCAAAGGAAGATAGGACATCGCCTCGATCACAAAGTGCCTCCACATTCTTCTTGTCGTATTTTGTCACAATCTCGTTCAGTTGGTCGATGGATTTCTCAAACAGCGTGCTGTCCACAACACCTGTTGCCAAAAATGAGCGGTCTGCCATAGCAGCGTACATTGCTGATTGCTTTGAGTTAATTTGAATACGGGCTGCATTTTTCTGTTTTTCTGCATCCACATTGTCGTCTGTTGACTCATTGGGCATTTGAGAGTACCATTTTTCAGCAGCTGCCAGCTTTGATTTGGCTCGGCTAAACAGATCCATAGACGCAGGGTATGAAGCGAGCATGGATGCCATGGTTGTCATGGTTTCCGAAGTAGACAATAAGGTTTCAACCAGAGAGTAGGCTGTCGTGGGTTCTACTTTGGTGACAGTAGTGAACTCTTCAGATGGTGTTGATGCAGTTGTGGGCTGCTCACTTTGCTCATGGTCATGAGTATGTTTCTCTTCTTCCTCTTCAGATGAATTCAGCTCTAAATACTCCTTTTCCTGAAGATCATACATACTGTCGAACAATGTAATTGCTTCTTGTAAAGCTACAGCAGAAGCGGCGTAGGCATTCTCGATCTCTGTTGTTTCTTGCAGAATTTCTGATCGTTGATGAAGTGCTTGAGCCAAATTAAATTGGGCATCAGTCTTGTTTGGTTCCAGATCCAATGCCACTCTGAATTTCTCGATAGATTGATCTACTTTTTCCAGTTTCTCTTCAGGAGACGCATGGGATGGTAAGAAGTTGATAAGCAAGAATAAAACTCGACCCCTACATGTTGCGTGTTGAATGAATGTGCCGCCTTTATGAAATGATCAATCTTACCAATTATAAACGCAATCTGCATCCTTTGGATTTGCTGCTGAAGCTTTGCCATACATATCTGCTGCTCTTTCATAATTACGCTGAGCCTTGTCTCCGGTTTGGTAACGTTCACCTTGCTCTTCATTGTGAATAGCCTCTAAAAGAAGCACACGCGTGTGTCTGTCAGAATGGATCACTGTAGTGTCATTCGCTCCAATTTACCGTCCATGAACTCTTCAAACGTTTCGGGCTCCTTCTTCTTTTTGGCAGGTGCTTTGGTTTTCTTGGCTCTTTTATCGAGGTTTCTTCTCATTTTAGAGTAAAGTCTTGTATCAAAAGATGAGTATTGGCATAGCAAAATGCATTTTTTTCTCCATTTGAAGGCATTACAATGGAGAAAGTGCAGTCCGAAACAGTCCTTTAGTTTCAACTATCAAGCTGTCAACCATCGTTGCTTGAAGATCATGCAATTCAAGCTTCAACAGGTGTTCTATAATTTAATACCAGCGTATAATGTCAAAGCTCATAGCAGAGCGCAAATCTCAATAGATCCAATGGCAATATCATTATCTTGCTCAGATGAATAGAATATCCAACTCTGCTGGATTTCTCATTCCAAGATGCTCAATAAACTTGGAATCTCAGCTTTCAATATAGCAACTAACCTAGACTAGCATTAACTATGGCTTGAGTTAGAGGGAGTGGTTTTGTGATTAATCCCTTCTGATATACAGGCTGTAACTAGCCGAACATTCAAAGCCGCTTACTGACATGTCGATATTGTCCCGGGAATAACACAGCATCGAAAGCTGAGGAACCATGAGCTGTCAAAATGACAATGTTGGAAATGCAAACAGATTGCAAAACTTGCATGTCAGTGTTCCTATATCACATATGTTGCTTTCTGGATGGTATCCCTCTTATCACCACAAGGCAAATAGCATTCAACGAAACTCCAATGCACTTAAAATGGCAGAGAAGCCAAGTGATACATTGCCAAGATGGCTGTCCTTGTTCTATAAACACTGCCATCTTCTAGACAGATTGACAGCTGATATGATCCATATACGCCATTCTCAATTCGCTCACGATCTCGCTTGCATTTACCCAGCCCCAGTCGATAGTTTACCTTACTCATTCCCCCCCCCCCCCCTCAAAACTATCGTCATGCAATTTTTTTTTATTGATACGTGTTCTATTTGATCATCCCGCGAGTTGTTTATGATTTCTCTGCAATAGATGTAACGATGGATATAGTGATTTCTTACGCAGTAGGCTTTTCCTTCTCAAACTTGGCACCTGGAATGTTGGAAGGGTGGAAAATACGCTAAAAGAGAAAACAGATGGTCAATTGATCAACTAGCAATGGCATTGATTACACTCTCTTACTTGAGCATCAGCATAAGCAACACCAAAACCCCAACCAGTGGCGATAGCAATGGGCCAGGTACGTTCTAACAGTAAATACTCAGTGTTAGTAAACAAAATCCATCCCTCTTTATCATTCCTAAAACCAAATACATACTCTTGAATAGCAGAGCAGAAGCAACGATACCTGCACTCAAACCGAGTCCAGTTTTCACAACGAAATTGGAGATGGTGCGGTCCCACTATCACACAATGGAAGAATGTTACATTTGCGAATCCATCATGGCCATCCACATTGAAATACCTTTTGTGCCAGGATATCTTCACTTGGGATTTTGTTTTCGGTAGACATGATAGATTTCGATTGAACAAAGAAAGCACTGAAATAAACAAAATAAGTTTACCCCCGCATACTTTGGGAATTTCTTCTCCTCCTCCTCCTCCTCCTCGTGTCTCGTAGTTGGTTAGTGAAAAAGTTTCGTTTGTAGTTTCTTTACGTCACCCTCATCATAACTGGGATTCAAGGTAATCCAATGTTTCGCAAGACGTTCACGAATCCAATGGAAAAGATCTGCTGGGTGGATTGTTACATTGGGATCTTGGATGTTGATCCAAACGCCATGATTTCGTCAGGCAACTGATAGTGAGCCAAGATATACTAAGGCTGTAAGCAATACGTCAATCTTGATCGATAACATATGTCATATCATGGCAATGTAGAGCTGCGCTTGAATGGCATTTGATATAAGCCCATTGGATACACTGATCTACGTTCAACAGAACAATAGACATCTGTTTTTTTTTTTTTTTTTTTTTTTTTTTTTTTGCAATGCGAGGGTGCTTGCCTGAACATTTGAGCATCGTACAGGTATGCGGTTAGGCTTATTGCCTCTTTATATTCATGCTGAAGCGACGAAATATCAAGAGATCAACCATGAATGAGAAACCTGCTGTTAATGTATACAAATGTTGTGGTGGGCGGGTAACTCCGAAACACACAGAAAGAGCACTGGACACATGCAATGATGCTATTCAGTTTTTCCTTTTTCCTCTCTCCCTTTTGGTTTAGAATCCTCATTTTTCCATCCCTCTGCCACACACTCCTTTTCCTTTCCTTACATACTAATCATTCCAGAAATAATGATTAGCTGTATTCCTTGCGTTCATGTAAAGCATGCTACTCTAGTTAACAATTGCTATCCACCAGTCAAAGACGGCAGCACTATACCTCGTTCTTCCGAACTTAGCTACCTAACATTTTATGCGAGCTCAAAACCTGCAAAGCTGACAAAGGTCGGCTCATTTATACAGAAACGAGTCGAAAAAGACATTAGAAAAGGAAGAAAATTGTAGGTATCCTCAAATGTCTATGCCAATCGACCATTTTTGTTAATCCATTGCCAATTGATCACATAGTCAGAACATAGTGTCGTTGCAAATCATAAAAGCATTGATTCAAACTTGCCATCGAGACCTCAACATCTTTTCAAAATATATTGTAAAGATACTGAGTTTGCTACTTGATACAAGAGACATCGAGATCATCGATCGTAGCTGCGAAACAGTAAATACCAACTGCAAAGAAAATGTCTTTATATACAGCACTAACTTGGGTATTGCAGTTTATTGTGTTTTGTAGCTACCACGATGGAAGTACACTCGGTGTTGACTCAAGCTTCACAACAGATTACGAATCTCTTTTGAAGAAATTTTCGGGTTTTTGCAATTATACTAACGAAGACGTAGCGTTTGCATTAAAGTAAACTTGCATACATTTAATGTTTGACATGTAATTTCAAAACTAACGCCTGTATAGAATGAGCTACATCGGCCATCGAGCTGTTCAAGCTGCTGTAACATCAGGTGCCCTACAATCTTCTAATTTCAAGATGCAATTAAGCATTTTATTCCCTCCCTTAATGATCACAATTGCTTCTAAACCAACCAGTACAACATTGGATACAAGGTAATACAAGAAGAGTGTGTCTTACATAGTATATTCTCATGCAGATGATTTGATTTAGCAATGGTAGTGTGGACATACGAGATTCCGCTTTGAATAACAGCAAAGTTAGCCCTGAAGTGATTGAGTCAATTGCAGCACACACCATATCTATATTATTCAACAAGGTCACTGGCCCCTCTGTTAGACTTTCCCTTGTTCCTTTATTCAGGTAAGGATGATACTGTGTTTGGAAAAAAAAACAAACAATTGAAGATGCTCTTCTAGTTATTTAGACGAAAAGGAGAACTGGTGGCCCCCTCAATTGGCTGTGAAAATTCTGAAGTTAGTATTGGACTCTCTACAGGTAAGAAGCGCTTTGACAGTGTATACGACAGCAATGTTTATGCTTCTCGACTGTATAGCCTCAATACAGACATCTGCTGGTATCCGATTTACTACAGCATTTGGATACATTCAACAAGCAAGAGGACATTATGAACGATAAACATGCATCATTGATTTCTTCGCTGGATTCCATTCTCAACGCAAATGTTCCTCTTGCTGGCATCTCTATCTTGGAAGTATTGAACAGTTTATTTACGCTCCTCATCAAATCGACGCAATATCATCCATTCAACGTATCGGCTGTCAGTGAGAACGAAATCCAGGAAGATACTGTCGTTGATGTAGAAAAGACGACCGGTCATGCCAATTTGATACAGCACGGGCTTATCCATTGTATTGGTGGCCTAGCAACGCAGAATTACTATGACAACCAGCTGAATGATATGATCGGTTATTTGACATCAAAATTGCGCACAAACACCTCTTTGGAGCAAGTAGATGGACTGTTGATTCATGATTATCGATCAATCGTACTCTGCTGCTTGGACAGTGTTGTCCAGGGGTCGAAATCAGCTATTTCACCCAATTCAAGTGAGGCCGAGATCAGAATTGCTGGTACAAAGATACCTTTAGATGCTTGGAATCCAGCCCTTGGCTTGTTGTGTGACAAGAACGCCAAAACTCGTATGAACGTTGCCAAATGCCTATATGACTTTTTACAAAACATCCCACCCAAAGTGTCTATGGAATCCACAGAGTAAGATGTCATCTTGTTTGATATTAAGGTAGTTGGTCTAACGTTGCTGATCTGTATAGCGAATATCCCAAACATTCCTTAACAGAGCTACAAGACAATACATTTGTAAATCAACTCATTTACGCTATGTTGGATTGGGTCTTGATTTCTGATTTCAATATTACCGATTTGCGATTCTTTTACGCATACTTATGCCTACTTAATCGCAAATTTGGTGTGGATGCCACTGTGGTAATAGTGCCGCTCATTTTCAAGATTCAACAATGCATCCAAGAACACAAAATCAGCTTACAAACTAGGCAATACGCCATTGAATCTGCCTTGATCTCTTGGTTTGCTATGGTCGCTGAATTTTACAATATTCAGCCATTATTTGATTACATCCAAACTATCAAGTCAAAGAGAGGAACACAACCAGACGATCTTAGATTGACTGAGTCCATTGACTATACAATCAAGGAACCCGAGTTGTTCTCTATCAGCATTGACGATGCAGCTACGAAAGCGAATACAGCATGGATTGATCGTAGCACCATTGTTGAGCTGATGTCAAAGGAGGGAAATCTTCGAGACGAAACGGACACACATGGACTAGATTTGGAGGCCAAGCTATTTGCTGAATGGGGCTCTGATGCATTTTGTAAGTTGCTGGCCATCCTTCTTCGGGGGTTTCAAACTAAGTCTTTTTTTTTTCAGTGAGAAGTGATCAAACCATTCGCTCTAGGATTTTAATAGATTCCACCAATAACAAGCCCAAGTTATCAAGCCCTTGGGAACACGCAGAGATGGAGGTTAGCCAATTTAGAGTCATCTGTAAAAGTTTATTTATTTATTAACGGTCTATGAATGTTAGCGATCTCCGTTGGCAATGGAAGACAAACGAAACAGTATTCGAGTTGCAACACTGAAAGAGGCACTTGTAGCTCAAACAGTAGCAGATGACGACATGGATACCGATTCAACGCAGAGCAATTCCTTGTCAGCTCACTCAAAACCACCTCCAATGCGTGCAAATGAGGTGAATGCCCTATTAACAGAACTAAATCTACCTCAACAAATGGCTCCAAGCACTGTATCATTAGTTAATCCCCCTTACAAGTCAACGTAATTATCCACACACCTACTATTATGTATTATACAATCTATCATTTCTCTTATAAATTGACCTACATTAAACAAAAGATTGAATTTACATTAAGGCGCAAGGCGACTTGTTAAATTTAATGTTATGCTCGTCTTGATATCAGTAATGTGAGTCATCAGAGTTTTAAGAAATTATAATTGAGTGCTACTTATTTATTTAATTAACATAGTTAATAAATATTGCTGTAATAACAACGTAAACAACACAGTATTCTAATAATAATAATACCTAGTAAGAAGCATCTATCCCATGAGATTCTGAAAAGGATATCTAATTAAATTACTACTGCGCCTTATTATCATACGATTCAATAGAAAATAGTTTGTTTGGATACTCATTTATTACAAACACACTATAATGTTAAATGACAGATCAATAGGAGATTAACTAGTTGTAACCCTTCGCTGTTCCAACCTCTTAGCCAATCAGATTGCTTGAAAACTCCGCTAGCCTAAAAAAAATTTGCGAGGGTTTCCCCCTGTTTTGATGTGAGGCAAAATTTTAAGCGCCGCTATAGTAGCAATATAGCCGCTGCTATCATCAAACTTCCCCCAGGTGCTAGAGCATGCCTTACTTACACCACCTAGCTTTAAATACTGGCATTGAGACCCTCAATCATCACTAAAGTAAGTAGCGATAACCAAGTGGAGGCAGCCTATCTACCTCCTAGCCTCGGATAAAGTCTTGTTGAGCTTCAGGGATAGGCACATCCACACAACGTAATAAAGATGTATGCTTCAAAAGAAACATAATAACAAAAGAAGCGAACATAATAATACTATAGGAGTATAGTAGTATATGTAGGCAAAAGAAAAAAAAAGAATGCTCACACGAAGTGAGTCAAAGGAAAGTATGTTATGAATAAAACATTAAAAATGTTCACGTTATTATATTCTTGTTATTGCAACAAAAATACATACATGAGCAATGTGCATGATAACAGTCTGATGATGTAAAAGAACACAAATGCGCACAGTTGCAGGAGCAACAGTAGCAGCAGTGTAATGAAATAGCCACCCAAACGCAACTTAATTGAAAACCAAAGTTCATCAAATAGCACTCATTCAAATTCATGCTATTTGGATCTATTAATGAAAGCGCTCAAATGTACATCAAAAACCCATTTAAAAATACTAAAGTAAAGATGCACGCTTATATCGCACATCGTGTGAATGAATCACTCCTGATCACAGTGTATTCAATCACACCCATGATGGTCGTAATAGGTGATGGTATCTTTATCCAAATAGAATTAAATCAATAACAAGCATATTCAAATATGACAACTATGCCCTGCTGCCATAGTTGCACAATATCCCAGATAAAGGATTCCATGCTTCAATAACAAACATCATACTTTAAACCATCAAGGTTACATTAAATCATGCTATGACGATAGCTCACCCAAGCCCAGCAAGGTTACTCAAATCGACCCTTATGGCCAGTGCTCCTGCATTGACTACCACTTTAAATCAAACATCAACAACATTTGCCAGATATCGCAATAGCAGCACCTATTGCTCTCTATCATCACTAATCCTACAAGCCAGATGCAAATGTATAAATACTCTTCTTTTTTTTACTCAATTCCAGGATCTTCAGTTCATTTTATACACAAAATAAAATACAGTTGATTTCTATTGTATTTTACCTTTGCTTTATTTTTTTTGTGAAATCCATTAAACCTGATTTCACTGCATTTTTTACAATATTCAAACTATATTTTATTAAACAAACCTTATCACAATGTCTGACAATACCAACAACTCTGGCTCTCCTTCTGTCCCCTCTGCTCAAGATTCTCCTGCTCAACGTCAACCTGGTGACGATACCATTGAGCACACTAGGCAGCAAGTCCAGGCCATCCACTTGGATCAAGGTACTGATGTCGGACAACAACCTCAACCTTCAAACCATCAAGAGGATATTGCCATGATGGATGCTATGCCATTGCGATCCTCTCCTGTTCCTGCTTTGGCTAACCATGCTCCCAATGATGGTGGTGAATCCTCATCTCAAGTTACTTCTCATTTGTCTGCGTCGACATCATGTTCATCAGGTAATGCATCCTCCTCTGCTGCTGGTTCTAGCACGTTGAATTCCATCAAGAAATTGGTCTGGCGTCGGGATTCGTTTGTACGTCTGTTGCTGGACATGGTCGAGGGAACTGATATGAACAATGAGCACAGTCAAAAGCATATTGAAGATATGCGATCCAAGATTGAGGACCTGAATCGTCTGATCTCCACTGTCAAACACTCAGCCAAGCTATCCGAATCTAATGTCACCGCATCACTCACTGGTGACAATGAGGGCATCTCATTGTCCAAGCAAGACCTACCTAAATTCCAACTTCGTTCGCATGCCACCAAGTACTTTCCCAACGAAATCTCCTATGATTCGATTCACCATTTTCTGCGCTCCTTTGAGAAGGTAATTTCGTCTTCAGGCAAGGCTGTCGAAAATGTATGGCGGCGATACATTCCACTCACGATTCCACACGACCTTGATCTCTGGTTGAATCAAGACCTGCTGACAGCAAAGTCGTGGTCCATGGCTAAGGAAAAATTCACGTCCAAGTTCAGTAATGCTGCTCTACGCTTGGATGCTCGTCGTGAAGTTCAAACCGCTACCATGCGATCTGGAGAAACTACGGAGGAGTACTACAACCGTTTCGCTCGGGCTATGATGGAGGCAGGCTACTCATCTGAAGATACCACTCTTGGCGATACATTCTTGCTCGGCTTCCCCAATGAATGGCAGATCCAAATCAACGCTGTTCTCGGTGTTCACTTCCCTGGGTGTTCTAACTTCACCGCCAGTCAGATTGTCACCTGTGCCATGAACGTCCTCAACAGTCAAAAGTGTCCTGTTTCGTTTGTCAACGCAAAGCGACATGGTGGTTCTCGTGCTTCGTCCTCTTCATCCGGTTCATCTGGATTCTCTTCCTCTGCTGCTGCTTCTTCTTCTGCTCCTCGTTACTACTGCTCAAACCATGGAGGCTCTCAGGCCAGACATCACGAGAAGGACTGTCGTCTGAACAAAGGTGGTTCTTCATCAAGACGTGTAGTTGAAAAGGCAAACGTACCCAAGAAAGCCAGCGGAAACACTTTCTGCAAGTGGTGTGGCAAAACTTGGTTCCACGGTCACTCTTGCACTGAGTACCAAGCTATGAAGGGTTCGTTCAAGGTGTTGAGCGTGAGAAGAGAAAATAGTGGTCATCGACCCTATACAACTGGCTCCAGTAGTCAGAAACAAAAGCGTCATTCCCGTAATGGCAAAGGAAAGCAAAAGGACTCCGGGTCCAGCGAAAGTGACCTCTTCCGCGAGGCTATGGAAGACAAAGAATGTAAGTCTTCCACATCAAACAAAAACACTTTCAATTTAATAACACCATTGCTTCTCAATGACATTAGAATCATCGGAAAGGTGGATCCTGGCTCAGATGTTAGCATCATTAACAAATCCGTTTTGAATAAAAAATTCTCTACTATCAAAAATGTCAAAGCATTGGGTGGTTATTTAACCTTTTTGGGCATGAACAAAGATGGTAGTGCATCTAAAGCTGAACGCATTGGAAGCACCGAACCCATCAAAGTAACTTACATGAATGGAATCACATTTGAACATTCCTTTGAAATCATTGACTTCAATGATTCCATGGATGAAGAGTTTGATGTACTCCTAGGAGTCGACATCTTGCCTCGCCTCAACATCTATCTTAGTGGAGTAGCTCATTGCTTTCCTGACACCGAAAACGAAATTGCTCAATTCAAGAATATAAACTATGACACTGAAAACGTCTATAATCCAGAAAATGCTGATTATGGTACTTCTCAGGAACGTCACATCCTTCTACAACAGATCGAACAATCTCTGAATGCCAACAAGAACATCCCTGCTGACGCAGTATGTTCCATGCCTGAAAGTGTAGTGCATGTTCCTATATCCAATCCCAAGGATTGCTTCATTCGCCAGTATCCATTATCCATCAACTCGCATGCCGAGATTGACAAACAAATCAAAGAATGGCTTCAAAATAAGATTGTTGAACGCTGCAAACCCTCATCAGTGTTCCATTCACCTCTGATTACGGTGACAAAGAAGGATGAGAACGATCAACCCACCAAATTGAGAGTGTGTTGTGATCTTCGTCGCATCAATGCGTCCATTGATGACAATTACCATGAAAATTATGCGGTTCCCAAGATTCACGAAATCTTTGAACGAGTGTCTTCTAGCGCACGCATAATAAGTAAAATTGACTTACACCAAGCATACTATTCGTATGGTGTGCATGAAGCATCTCGCAACGCCCTTATATTCTCGCATAATGGCATTTTTTACAGATGGTGTAGGGCCCCTTTTGGCCTAAAATTTATGAGCTCTCTGTTCGTAAAATGCATGTCAATTTTATTCACTGGTTTATCCGACGAACTGAAATTCGAAATGGAAAAGAACATGGATCCTTCCCAAGTTGATCCAACCAAAGTATGGGGTGGCATCGAACACTACATAGATGACTGTGTCCTGCATAGTATCTGTGAGAAAAGCCACATCAAGCTTATCAATCTTGCCGTTAATCGCTTGACATCCGTCAACCTGCGCATCAATGTGAAAAAATGTTCATGGTTCCAGACATCAGTCTTTTTACTAGGCTTTGTGGTTGGACCTGGCATACAAAAGATTGATATGCGTCGTTTATCTGACATAGACGAATGGCCCATTCCCAAAACTGCAAAAAAAGTTCGCTCGCTTATGGGTGTCGTTTCCCATCTGCGAAACTTTTGTCCCATGCTGTCCAAGGTTGCTGAGCCCATCGATAGTCTTCGAAATGACAGTGACGTAAAAAAGAATTGGACACAATTGCATACTGATCGGTTCAATACCATCAAGCAAATACTGCTCTCAAACCAAATACTGCATGCTCCAGTGTTGGACGACAAAATGTTCCTCCAATGCGA